ATGCTACCAAGGCCTGTGTGGATAGGCTGTTCTACTTAGGAGTTTTATATGCCAACGCTCGTAGTTTACGAAATAAGTTCTATGAACTAGAAGCACTAGTGGACAGGTTAAAGCCACTCATAGTAGCAGTGACAGAAACTTGGTTAGTCGATGACTTAGACATTACTCCAGAATTATCCGGATACCATTGCATCAGGAGTGATAGACATAGATGTAGAAAGGAGGCGGCGTCCTGTTATATATAGCCAATAGCATAAATATCCGCTCCTCTACTAGCGAATCCCATGATAGCGGCACTTGTGAAGTCATTAGCTGTAAGTTGGCTATAGGATGTAGTACATTTATGCTAGGTGTCATCTATCGGAGCCCAATCTGCTTAGCTGATGACTTTGTTTTAGAGCACATTCATCTTTGGAGTGAAAATACCAGATGCTTGATAATAGGAGACTTTAACGCACCTGATATTAGTTGGACTGATATGACCACAGAAGGATCTATAAACTCCTTTGATAGTAGGTTCCTGATAACAATAATGGAGCATGCACTAGTGCAGCATGTATCCCAACCCACACGTTTTGGTGTTAACCAGGGTTCTTCTCTGCTGGATTTGGTAATCACTCATGAGACTGAGGATATTGTCGACTTAAATATTCTTCCACCGTTAGTGAACAGCGATCACGCTGTTTTGTCATTCGCGTTTCGAACTAGGGACATGTTATACGATCAGGTTACACCTCGCCCAAATGTATGGAAAGCTAACATATCAGCCATTCAGGAATGCGCTGCTAAGACAGATTGGTTAGTAGATACTAGCATATCAGTTGAAGAAGCATGGTCTGTATTTAAAGGTAAATTTAGACTAGTTACGTCCCCGTTCATACCATACCTGGTACCGCGAAGACCGAATAATAGTCCACCATGGATAACTAAAACGGTCAGGAAACTCCTTAGAAAAAGGAAGAATCACTGGAATATGTTCATCTCTACTGGCTTAGAACAATACAGATCCAGTTATTGTAAGATTAGGAATGCCTGTAAAGCGTTAATAAGCAAGACTAGACTATCATACGAAAAACAATTGGTTAGGGATTCTAGATATAGTCCGAAACGGTTATTCTCGTATATAAAAAGGCGAACTAAGAGAAGCGATGGAATTCCATCACTTTTGATACGAGAAATCCGTTAATCTTAGCAGAGAATGATGCCGAAAAAGCTGAAGCTTTATCGGAATATTTTAGTAAAGTGTTTTCTATCGGTAATGAGGAACGACCAATGATTCATCATGACCGTGACGGCTCGCTGATGGATCCTGTAGTCATTGAGAAAGATACTGTTTTAAGGCTACTTCAGCATCTCAAACCTGATAAGTCCAGTGGTCCTGATGATATTCATCCTAGGATTATGAAAGCCATATCAGATGAAATTGCTGAACCATTAGCGATACTATTCGACATGTCTCTGAGACAGTCCAGACTTCCTAGAGACTGGAAAGACGCCATAATAAGTCCGGTGTATAAGGCTGGGAGTAGGGATTTAGTTAGTAACTATAGACCCGTTAGCTTAACTAGTGCAGTTGTGAAACTGATGGAGAAAATCATTCGGATAGCTGTTATAAACTATGTTGAAGGGCAAAATCTTTTCTCCAGGGCACAACATGGTTTTCGGAAAGGCCTATCTTGCTTGACAAATCTTCTCATTGCACGAGAAGAGTGGGCTGCGGCAAAGGATCGGAATGCTCCTGTGGATGTGATTTTCATAGATCTAAGTAAAGCCTTTGATAAGGTTTCCCACTCTGGTCTTAAATTCAAACTGAAACGTTTTGGAATCCATTATACAGTCGTCGATTGGATAAGTAACTTTCTCCATGACAGGAGACAAAGGGTAAGGGTTAATGGGGCTCTCTCCTCGTGGGTACCTGTAAAAAGTGGGGTTCCCCAAGGTACAATCCTAGGTCCTCTTCTCTTTTTACTTTATGTAAATGAATTGCCAACTGTAGCAAAATCATCCGTTCTACTCTTCGCTGATGACATAAAGATTTGGAGACCCATACATAGTATGTCGGATAGAATAGTATTACAGGACGATCTTAGCTCATTGGTGGCATGGTTAGACAGGTGGTCACTAGAAGTAAATCCTAATAAGAGTGTAGTGATGCAGTTAAATAACTCTGATGAATCGTATGACTATACACTACGTGGATTCGTGCTACCCAAAGCAAGAAACTATAAAGACTTAGGAGTTATATTAAGCAATGATCTCAAAACGACTAGTCACTGTAAGGCTGCTGCTGCAAAAGGCTATAGGGTATTATGGTCAATTCGTAGGTCTTTTCAGTATTTAGATGATGAAATGTTTGGATTACTATACCCGATTTATGTGCGACCACATTTAGAATACGGGATTCAAGCAGCGAGTCCTTGTTTCAAATATGAAGCAGATATGCTAGAAAGAGTCCAACGACGAGCTACTAAGATGGTACAAGGTCTAGCTGGCCTATCTTATGAAGACAGACTGAGACACCTTAACTTATTTCCGTTATCTTACCGTAGAGTACGGGGTGATCTAATATTGGCTTATCGTATACTGAACGATGACCTTGGTATTAACATGTCTTATCTTTTGCTTCCGTCTAGAACCGATCATTTGAGAGGACATTCGAAGAAAGTTCAAAAACCGAGATCAAACCGTTTACGTCTGGAGTTCCGTTTCTCGCACCGAGTAGTGAATTACTGGAATTCTCTACCGGAACACGTAATATCAGCACCGTCTGTTAATATATTCAAAACGAGATTGGACCTCCACAGTATTACAAACTGCAAGGATTAATATAGGTCGACAGACCTCCTATCCTTATTACTGAAGACTGAAGACTGAAGACTGACTGAAACAGGCTTTCAGTGCTTCTAGGTTTTCAATATCGGTTTAACATTGATCGGTTCATGATTCCAATCTTATTTTTCTATCTACATGAAGCTTATCATAAACGAACTGTTTCTATTGACAATGAAAGTTAATTTAACAAAAAACTGTTATAACTTATCAATTGAATGCTACTTGTTATATCCGGTCGTCGCTGATTGTTGTGTCAGAAACGCTTATCACTTATACTCGAAACGAGGGACTTCTGTAATTCCCTCTACGCGAAAGTAAGAACACAAGACTGGTATAAGTGAAGACTCACTAACCCCCAAAACACGACGACGACAATTCTAGTCGAAAATACACTCATTTATGTATTGATTGTACACCCATTTTGATTAATAATTAGGATGAAATCACATATATGAAAAATACTTGGAGTTATAATAAATCACATATTGAGCATAGTTCATATCAATTAAATACAAGAATATCGTATATTATCCAGAATAAAATATCGTCCAACAAAAGAAAACAATTACTACACTGAATGATCATCACATTGAATCAGAATGGAAATAATGTTGAACAAAACTCATAATGAGTAAATCATTTGAATTTTGACTTTTCTTCTCGTCGCAGTTGTTGGTCCTGTCTAGAGGCTGCGAAGAATCCAACAAAAGCTGAAACGCAACCATGACCAAAACCGAACGGGCCTTGGCAGAGAATACACGCTAATTTCGCCGGACCAATACAAGGCAGGAATTACTTAGTTGCTGTCGATGCTTTCACAAAATGGCCAGAAGCATATGACATGCCGAAAACGACATCAGAGAGTGCAATAAGAAAATTGTGAGGATTGTTTGCTTGTTGTGGGGTTCAGAGATCTTAGTGACTGACAACGGCACTCAGTTCATGTCATCCGCTTTTAAACGCTTTTGCAGTGAAAATGGTATATCACATCTACAACCTCCTCTGTACCATCTCCAGTCGAATGGCCAGGTAGAAATGTTCGTGGATACGACAAAAAGAGCTCTGGTCAATGGATGAGGTGAGGGTATCCCAGGACAAGTGATCAGTAAGTTCTTAATGTCTTTTAGAGTTGCCCATAATCCGGCAGTACCAGAAGGAAAATCCGTAAAGTTTTTAACAGTATGTTGCTACTCAGAAAGACAAGTAAACCCCCGAATGGGTGTCGTACGGTGACTCGTAGCTTCCAAGTGGGTGAAAGAGTATTTGTCAAATCGTATCGAGGTAATAGGGAGTGGGAACCAGGTGTCATGGAGCGTCGGATCGGGAATGTAAAGTAGTTCGGAAAAATGTCAGTACGTGTACAAGACATAAATCAAATTCAAAGGGACGGCAGAACATTGGTCCTACAAAGCCAACTCCCGTTTCAATTGCCCATGGATTCATCTCAAAAAAGCCTTCAGGAGCGCGAATATAGAAGAGATAAACGACGCAAGAACAAAGCTGTAAACCTTAGAGAGTGATGTACCGCAAGAGGAATACGATAACCAAGTTTCAGGTGGATCTGGAGGAAAAGTCTTACACAACAGACTTCAAAGGGTAGAGATGTGAGGACAGTCCATGTGTGAACTCGAGGAAGCTGTAAGAAGCTCAAAAAGAGCCGAAGATATTCCATCCAATCATCTTTTGGAAGAATGATCAAGAATCTCTACGCGTAGCTTCCCGATTGAACAATGCTGATGCCACCTGTGTGCGAATTGAACAGCTATAATGATGATTTCATTTTTACTAAAAACCATAAATACCTAACAGTTTTGTACCATAATTTGACACTGTCTGGAATAACATTCCTTTCACTAGTCTTCTGTCTTCTCATTGCTACTTGGATGGGTTCTAGAGTTCTAGTGCTCAAGTTATACATCATATATCAAGAATATAAGTTCTAGATATAACAAGAACATTTAATCAGGTGAATGATACAACACTGAAATTATTGTCATGAGCTATATCACTACATTATTTCTTATCTGAAAATAGTAGTATATATCGAATTAAGAATAAATTAGACTCAATATTAAAAACCACTATAATATCTAGAAAACATTTATGTATACAACAAAATATTCCGTTTCAATGTTAAGCATACTTAGTCAACAAGCATAGAAAATATTTCAGTCATTTATATTTTAAGAAAAAAAGCACATTAATCATTGAACCATTCAGCCGATATACATGAAAGTTCACTGTTTCACATAGATACTGTAATCATTTATGATAGAATATGAGTACGTCTAATCATTCCTTGTTTAGAACAGACTGATGTCCAATGTGAAAGTCCATCACCGCATGCTAAATCTGATGGTCCAGTTACACAACGACCAATAAGTGTAGTAGATTCTTGTAGTTTACTTCCAGATCGTGCGAATACACTCAATATTATACATACACGACTAATGTCTTCTTCAATGATAAAATTCAATTTCTCACCCAATATAAACTCTGCTGAGTTCACTGTAAGTCGAGCAGTTGCTCTAGACTGAACAGTTCGAAATAATTTCCAATTCGAACACAATGAAGCACGAACAAATAAATTCTCTAAGGAAAGAAAGATGAGAAAAACATGAATGCAAACAAAATAATCATGATATTACAATATAATTAGGTACTGGTACAACTGAACTCAAGACGTTCAGGACTCAATGTGACACCTTAACCTTTATACCAGTAAGTATTGGGTCGTTTACATTTCATCCAATATTGCGGAACTGAATAATGTTAGAAACGTAAATCAATTTATGGCAACTCAATAGTTCAAAGGCTAGACTTTTAGTGTAAGGCCTGAAGGTCACGGGTTTGACTCCTGGTCGGCTTGTGGGTGCGGATTACTAAGAAGTACCATACTAGAGTGAAACAACTGACCAGTGATTTCTCGTTCTCAAAGGTTGTTAAGCTAAAACCAGTCTATGATATAAGACTTCAAGTTCGACTGCATTTAGTGGTCTATTTTAATAATAATAATATTATAATGCTCCAACCACTTAACAAAAGCCATGTCTGTCTACACTGAAACTACCGAAAACGCCGCTTAACGGCATAAACCAACCGACTGAATTGAACTGATTTCGTTAAACTAATATTCTTTACGTGTTTTTAATTGATAAATTAGAATTTTCCTGAAATTTTGACATGAACTACACAATTTCAGGACAATATCACAATGTTGAGGATACAAGCTTCATAAGAACTACAACTGTAAATAAATTAACTAAAACAGTCATTTCAATCTATCGGTATTTGCAACAACCACATACCTATTGAACAGATAAACTCAGCCCCCAAATGCCCTGGTATGACCGAGAGCGGGGTGGGTTCGCCCTCTCTCTCGAAATACTCTCACAAGGCCACGCGTATACAGCCTCTGTCAGGGGAGTCCTACTCACTGCCTTCTCGTGGCGAGGGTGTTGCTTACGAAAATGAGAGGACGAAAAGCGAATGTCCGGCGCTTTAACCGGATCCCAAACCAATGGTGCACATGGACTCCAGGATCCTGCGGGAACAAATGGCGTATGAACCAGTTGTTGGTCACCGGCTTCCATGGGACTGCATTTCCTTACGATGCTCCATTGCCTTGTGGATCAGACCTTGAGGTCGAAGGCTCGGGGTGTGGCCCCCTAAGATAACCACCTGCTTCGGTTTGGGCACCCGGGCAGTATCACAGCCCACACACAAATGACGAACTGTCTATATTTATGGAGACTACTTTTCTTGCTTCGACTAACAATCAAATGATTCAAATTATTAGTATTATTATTATTATTATTATTATTTACTACGTCATTATTCACCCTCTTTTATTCCTACTCTCTTTATACTTATTTTTTCGACTTATACAGCAGCTCGTTTATGGTGGAAATTCGACTCTATCTAAACGTTTCTTACGTTTCACTTCATAGTAATAATAAAATGTTTATTATATGGCGTTTATACAGTGGAGAAAAAGTGAGTTCAAAATTCAGTCTTAATTCATCGGAGAGTAAGTGACCTACAAAAACGGATTTCCTCTAATCACCACGTATATTTATAAACAAGATTGTTCTTTAATGAGATAATAAAACATATTCTTCTGTATTTTGATCTTATCTATGAAATCAGTTCATTTGATGAGTTTTTTAAGTTAATAATCGGATCTGAAAATCACTCATCACTCAGTCATAAAGTATTATTCCGATCATTTATCGACTAACATTTTATGCATTCATTTAAACGTCTGAGAATAATCTGAGAATAATATAGTAAATAGTTAATTTGCAATATATCAGTCCATTGTCTCAAACTTGACTGTTCCTTTCGCAAATATCAGTTCATCGTCTCAGATTTCATTGTTCTTGCATTTTCATGCCAATTGCTTCCCGTTCCCATTCTTTCCTTCTCGATCTTCTACTGAAATACATTCTATTCCTGATTATTGTTATATACTACTTATGTAAATATAAGTATCTCACACCACAATACGACCATTGCTTACACTCTGTTAAGATGTTAGATGGTTACAGGTAGCTGGTAGGAAACCTTTGATTTAAATTTCATGCCAGTAGGTAGTCGTTATAAAGCTGTAACCGTAGACATTAGGAATTTTCAATATCACAATCTGAAATTTTACCGGTGAGCTATCCAGTTCATCATTGACTTCTAATATGGCCTATGAGTCAGTCAGTCAGTCAGTCAGCTACAACGTAGGACCAGGCATATATATGCATCGGTTCAAGTTGCCATACCTCATTAACACAACAAGATGGACATCGGATTCACAAAAGTAGTTAATTCAGAGGTGGTAATATATAAAATAAAGATTGCAATAAGGATATAGTACAGGAAGAAGGAATTAGTTAGTAGAAAGAAAGATATGAAGCGATTTTAGTCTCTTAGTTTAAGGGAAGACAGAGAGTATATACACCGACGCCATTGTGATCGATTCTGAGCCATGTCACCAAGAGTCTCCAACCATTGTTTACGATAGTCACGCGGACCCTAACCAAGTAGTCTGCATCTCCCAAAATGGCTCAGACTAGAAGTTAGTGACTTCAAGCACTGATGCCACGTTTTAGTTTGGCCAACACAAAACTAGATCCAGCGTTTCTTTCCAACTACCTCTTAGTGACTGGAATACAAACTATACATCCGGTCAATAATTAAATGTCATTAAACTATGAAATTTAATTATATACTTAAACTAATTGAATATTTACACAAAATTTTCATATCATGCATCATTACTTTATTCCTTCAATGGGAATTTCATTGGTGTACAGTTAATTTAGCCCAGGAAAGAGTGGGTTGGAGAATGCTGGTCGGTGGCCTATGCTCCATTGGGAGTAACAGGCGTAAATAAGTAAATACAGTTGATTTAAAAAGAAAACTTCTTACTTGTTCGTTTAGGCAAATTCATTGCAGCACAATTAAACAGGCTAATAGTTAAACTACCATTCTCTTGATTATACTGCATACCAAAAGTAATTTCTCCTCGTGAATTGGCATTCTATTAATTTAAAAAAATATGAGAAGAAATATCTTCAATCGAATCGATTATTGTAATGAGATATGATGTAATCACTCATGTGAAATCATGATCTTGATCTTGTCAATCTTTATCATTTTTAATTGTTATAACTTGTGGCCTTGTACCCCATTACTATATAACGTAATCATATTGTCAATTAAAAAACAGTGAATTATCAACCGGACCAATGACACATAAACGCATATGAGCACTCTCCAGTACTTATCGGTCTTTTTTTCCTGCCTAACCTTGACTGTTGAGTTCAGAACACAAATCTCAGTCTCCCCGAAATGAATCATCTCTATTTCAAACATACCTGATTTATTTACAAACCAAACAGACTACATCATACCAAAAAATATAAAATAACATTTGTGTAAGATCTAGCCAAATGTAGCTGTGAATGTAGGAGACTGTAATTGACAGACTGAGTATAACTTAAGAATGGTAAATCGTAGGTCAAAATAAAGCTTATAATAAGCGAAACATGAATATGCATAGTTCAGCTACTTAACGATTATACAATAAAATATATGTATAGTATTAGTCGATAAATAAATCCCAATAGTTACCATTCATTATTCTCATCGGGATATATCACAATGCACAAACTTCATTGGATTATGCCCTTTTAGTTACTATGATCCTTGCCTTATATATATTTTTTTGACTTGATAAAACTAATATCCGTTTTTGTATTACATTACAAGTTAATCTTGAATTAGGAATTATTAAACCTGTGTTTACAAATTATTCAAGATTAGATTCAGATTGAATTAGATCAGTCCGATGAAATGATGCAAGACATAACGAGTGTAAACTTTGATGACAATCAGTATACAGTCCAATTGGAGTTTTACTAAATAAAAAAACATGATAAAAATTGTAATATTACAAATCTGTTCTTACTTCATCTGGAACTTTCAAAGACCTAATAAACCATAATAATTTATTCGGTAATAGTTCTAATGATTTCTCTTTTGTTTTAATATCTTCAAAGGTTGACACATTCACAACTGTAGAACGACGTAATTTATTCACATCATCCATTAGATATTGCCACATTTTAGATGTTATAGGAATATGTACACTGCCAATTAATTGTGAAGATTTCCAATATGGTAAATATTGAACAGTAGAAGTACCATGTAGATCATTTGCTTTACATGCATTACGTTCTTTCAAATCTATTTTAAGCTCATAATTTTGTATTGTATCATCTTCTAAGCCTATTGATGAGATTGATTCCATGGATTGAAAAAGTGATGTGGATCGATTATTTATTACTTCAATTATATTCAATGGTAAAGGTAAGATAATTTTATGCCGAAAAATTGGTGAACGATAAGCACGTCTCACTCGTGTACAACCACTATGCACTGTAGAAGACATTTTATTCGATGTAAATATATCCATTTTATCAGAAAAAATTCTCAATGACTTTGTAGATATTTGACTTAAGGATAACATTGACACAGAATTGTTTAGGCCTGAAAAATACATTAAATAAGCATTAATTCCATGAGCAATTTTTGTATTGACTATTCTGTAGCAAATACTGTATGTTCATGACTATGTCATTCGGTAGCAAATTTAGATGATGGTTGGGGGTAGTCGACAGGAAACCTTGGACCCGGGTTTCGTGCTACTTGGCACTCGTCAACAAGGTGTACCTGTAATCTTGAGGGAACTGGTGCTCCCTGGAGGATTCGATCTCGTGTCACCCAGCTTCACAGTCAGAGACGTTACCACTGAGCTATCCGGGCTGCGACCAACCTCCTGTAGGACTGAGATGTAATCACAATTGATTGATCACTGGGTGGCGATTAATTTCATGTGTGTCTAGTCCTTGTCAAATTTAACATAAAAAAATAAATAGACTGGTATCTATTTAGTTTCTGAGGGTCATAGTTCAGTATAGGTCAACCTTTTATCATGTTTATGCTTCAGCCCTTGGGATTAAATACACTCAACAGTGTGTATGACATGCATAGACTGATAACTAATTGAGAGTATGTTTCAGATTATTTTAAGTTCCGTCACAAACAAGCTCGTCTATGGTTGTCGTAGTGTAGTATTATCTATCCTGATTATTTCGTTTAATTGGGAGACTTTTATTGTCACTGTAGAAAAACATTAATGTGAACCCTATATTCTATATGACCTCACCTCATATAAACCACTTTTATATAGTAAACTTCCATAGCCTCTCTAGACACATTAAGTGTTCATAAAAAAAAACGGACATAAATCACTTACCAGCTAATTGAAGACGTGCTTTCACATAAAATTTCCCTGCTTTTGGATCTACGTTCCTACTCAGAATACAACGTGCATCAAATATATATACAGATAGAAATGGATGTTTTTTAATGTTGGACAGAACACCTTCAATTCGTACAGCTAACGTAATATAACCTCTTTCTGGTATACCACGTTCAGTTGTCCAGTTTGGATGGATTATCGGTATGAATGATAAATGATTAGTTGAGTTTTCTAATGATTCCAATGTATCATTTACGGTTGAATCTTCGATACTATCAGTCAATGTGAAATCCACAATGTCGTTCTCATTTTCATTGTTCACTTTGAACAATTCATGATCATCAAGTGATGTACCATTGTTATCATTATTATCTTCTCCTTCTTCACAACCCAATAAATGATTTATATCGACATTATTCGATTGATTATCGACGAGTCTCTGCATTCAGTAAGTAAACACAGTAAACGACAATGTTATATATTAAGTTCAGCAAAACTTAACCCCAAATCTTTAGATAATATCGATCAAAAGGTTGATACATTTTAGAGTTACCTGTGACGTAACCTGAAATTCTTGTCACTGTGCGTCTATAATATTAGAATCTGCCACACAGGAATTGCACAACTTTTTAAATTATTACCTCTTTCTGTTAACGTATAATCAAAATAATATAAATAGAGTAATCCTAGGTTCAACTCCCGGTCGTAAAGTCATGTATGAGCACTGCTGGAGTGTCTTTCACTAGAACAAAACGACCATCCAATGCCTTTACACTCCCATTGGTTGTTTAACTTAAATCAGTTCACCATCTCAATAAAAATACGACAATCTTCATAACCCTAAACGGAGAACAATAATCTAGTCATAAAATTCTTCTACGATATCATTCTCAAAGTTAAAATATTTAGTTGATTTAATGGAACAACCTAAACTAAAATTATTTGATTAATGAAATATCATTTACGTATATCATCATCACTTCAATGAGTGAATCTTGATGACTATGAGTTCTAGTTCTGTTTCAAGTCACTATTCAGAATAAAAAAAGCTTTTGATTAATCCAATTGTCTAAATTAAATGAATCTTCGTACTGTTACATTCATTATAACTTTTGTTCAATACGAAAAAAAAACTATAGAATGTCCGGCAACAGAAGGTTGAGAAGATCGAGGAGGAAAGAATCGAAACAGAAAGCAATTGATATGGAAATGCAGGAACAATGAAATATAAGACAATTAATGAATATTTTTCAGATGAAGTATTGGAGTATGATTTTTCTATTTTACCAAGTAACTCTGTCATTCTATGCTAAATATGATCGGTGGTCCTCACCTGGGTTCTCCTTTACTACACTGTATATCATTTATATTCAAGTGAGGAATATCGTAAATTATCAAAGCTCTTCTTCATTTTTCTTCATGCAATATATCTAACAGATATTGAGATATTAGCTTATCAGTGATTACATAATCATATAACACACCTGTAAGATGTAAAAGTATATTGTGTTACTTCAACGGTTTACCACTTAAACCATTTCAGTTGGTATAATCTACAGAATCTATTGAAGATGAAAGTATCTTATTTCATATTATTAGAAAGGGGCTATTGTGGATATTATAGTAAATTTTCATAATTGAATTCATGAGTCGATTAAAGTTAGACCACCATGGAAAACCTGAAAGTACTGAACGGCCGTTTCGTTCCAGCATAGGACTCCTCGGCAGTACTCACCCACGATCCCACACATAGGACTCAAACCTAGGACCTTCACTCCCACGCATTGACATCTAACCTGTAGACATTGAGCCGGCATCCAACGGTGTTATTGTTTAACTTCAACCAATCCATATTTCACATTATTAATTAATAATTAAGTAGTATTGATTTGAAATTTTTCTTTAATACCTTACCTAGATAAATAATTCTAAATGATGATTAAATATGCACTCTTTGTAATAATTCTAAAGTTATGCACTTCATTATAACTGCACTATAAGCTTACGAATAATATTTTGTTTAATTTGTAAATTAGTATGGGGACTTGTGAAGATTGTAGTATTTTTAACAGTTGAATTCATGAGTCAACCTAAACTGTAAATATTGTGAATTCAATTGTTTATCAATTACTTAAGAAAAATTTCATGACTTTCGTGATCATGAATCCATAATAAATAAATAATTATAATAGTTGAATTCATGAGTCGATTTAAGCTAGAACATTAGTTAAAACTGAGAAGCACTGGATGACTATTTCGTCCTGAGTTGATACTCTTCAGCACAGTGCATCTACTACAATCTCTACAAACACATATTCTGATAATAATCACTATTTGCCCACTCGTGACTGATTTCAAGATGAATTTCCTGACGTTTTAGTACGAAACCGTCACTAGTGGAGTCCTATCCGTGTCGAGTAAAGACATTTATCTACTTCAAATAATGAATGAATGATTGCTCAAGATCACGGATTGGTTAAAGCTGGTCACCAACACCACTGGATGTCGGCTCAGTGGTCTAGAGATTAAACATTCGTGCACCAAACCGAAGGTCCTAGGTTCGAGTCCCTCATACGGAATCGTAGATATGCACTGCTGAGGAGTCCCCTACTAATGCGAAACGGCCGTCCGTTGTTCCCAAATTATCAACAGTGATCTAACCTAGATCGATTCATGTATTTAGCTATTAAAGTTACTGCAATCTCCAAAATCCCTATTCTGAAAATAAATAACAACTGATAACTATAAGTCATTTGATTGTCATAATTTATGACTTGATTAATAAATATTCTCAGAAGGAGGTTTTGTGGAGATGTCAGTAACTTCAGTTGTTGAGATCGTGAGTCAATTGAAGCTAGACCCCCATGGAAAACCTAGAAGCACTGAACGGCCGTTTCGTCCTATTGTGGGACTCCTCAGCAGTGCTCATCCAATGGAGTTCAACTGGGTCAGTTGTGAAATAGTAACTCACCAATGACAATGGTGGATGTGTCGCCCGATTTTGTGGATTAGTTGAAGTTAGATATTAACACCGTTAGATGCCGGCTCAGTGGTCTAGTGTTTAAGTGCTCGTGCGCAAGACCAGTAGGCCCTGAGTTCGAGTCCCGCGAGGTTGGCTCGTGGATGCGCACTGCTGAGGAGTCCCACAATAAGACGAAACGACCGTTCAGTTCTTCGACGTTTTCCATGGTGGTCTAGCTTCAATTGACTCATGATCTCAACAATTGAAATTAATACATATTCACCAATGAATATTAACTTGATAGTTTCACTCATAAATTGATATTAATTATAACACTTGTTAAACTAAACAAGACTGAATAAAATAACTAGTTAATTATATTTATTTTATTTTATTGTTTTAATCATGATCTCATATTAGATCGAATTGTGGATCTGAAAGATCTGAAAGTAATTGCAATATCAATCATTTATTGATTGAATATTGAAATGAAAACAAATATACAGTTAAGCTAATAAATGATAATCATAGTCAAACTACTGAATTAATTAGCGTTCGAAATGCTTAGTTAATTAATGCTAATTACTGTTCATTTTTTGCATTGACATTTATTTAACATTGATTATGTAATACATTATTAATTTTGATTTCATATTAATTAGTGACTGGTGAATAATTAAGTTTTCATTTACAATCTTATTATATTCCCTGTGTCGATATTATTGATCTTGTTCCATTGTAATAAATAGAAGTTAGTAGTTGTTCTGAAGTCATAGTAAATAGCCGTTTCAATAGATTGTGGATGCGCACTACTGGGGAGTCCCATAATAGGACGAAACGGTCGCCCAGTGCTTCCAGGTTTCCAACGGTGGTCCAATATCAATCGGTTCATGATCTCAAACAATATTAATAGTTAGTATTTATTACAGTTGACAACTAAAGGGATTCTGCAATTCTAACTAGTTGTATCATAATAATTTGTACTTTAAGTTAATAATTAAAGTTTAAATAAACTATAAACAGTTACATCTCTTTCATTCAACATAGATGAGATATTCAGTTATGATATAGTTAACAATGAGAATCTAATAGCTCATTTAGTGAACTGTCGGCAGATGACCTGTATAATCATAAATTTAATTCTTTTAAATTTTCTTCTGATTTTAAAGATAATCTCAATAAAATAATCTTTTACTTGAGGTCATTAATTGGTCTAATTTAAACTACTGATGAGTTATATAGTAGGACGAAATGATCGTCCAGTGCTTTCATATTTCCATTAGTTCTCTAAATTAGATCAATTTGTGATCTCAATAAAACCCAACAAATTCTATGACCCAATATTAAAAAGCAAGATTCTCCGACACAACACAGCATGCACCAATCCAATCACAATTGACGGAGAAAATTTGGAAGATGTAAAAACCTTTACATATTTGGGCAACATCATTGATGAACAGGGTGGATCTGATGAAGATGTGAAAGCGCGGATCGGTAAAGCAAGAGCAGTATATTTACAACTGAAGAACATCTGGAGCTCAAAACAACTGTCTGTCAACCAACATCAAGGTCAGAATTTTCAATACAAATGTCAAGACATTTCTACTGTATGGGGCGGAAACCTAGAGAATTACGAAAGCCATCATCCAGAAGATACAGGTGTTTATTAACAGTTGTCTACGCAAAATACTTCAGATCCGTTGGCCGGACACTATTAGCAACAACGTACTGTGGAAGAGAACAAATCAGATCCCAGCGGGGGAAGAAATCAGGAAGAAGCGCTGGAAGTGGATAGGATACACATTGAGGAAAGCATTCAACTGCGTCACGAGACAAACCCTCACATGGAATCCTGAAGGCCAAAGGAAAAGAAGAGGAAGACCAAACAACACACTACGCCGGTAAATGGAGATAGACATGAGAAAAATGAACAAGAATTGGATGGAACTAGAAAAGAAGGCCCAGGACAGAGTGGGTTGGAGAATGTTGGTCGGCGGCCTATGCTCCATTAGGAGTAACAGGCATAAGTAAGTAAGTAAGTAAGTAATATTGAAAAGAAATTTTACATTATGTTTGACAAATAATAATAATTAAATATCATTTTTCCTTGAATATACTAATGTAATCACTTACCGGTATATTTGGTGTACTACTTACACGACGAATACCTTTACGATTGTTTTCAACTATCGAACGTGATTCTGACTTTTTTTGATCATTTATTGATTTATGGAAATGTTCTTTTCTTCTTTTTAATTCAGCCGACTAAAAATAATATGAATAAAGTGAGAAATATGTATACACTTATACTGAAAAGAGATAAATATAGTAGATGATGGAGAAGATTTGTAGCTAAGATGAATGATTTTGATAAAGTTTTGTTCTCTGAGTTCAATAATTTGATTATGGAGTACTTAATCTTAGTCTGAACGATATTACCTGAAGTTTATGTTGATAATGTCGTTCAGAATAACAATAAAAGTTCCACAATCAAACCATTCAGTTCGGAGAACAAGACTTCATCAAAAACAGATGAATATAGATACCATTATTAACGATTAATACTTCATTATATTTCCAATGCACTTGATAGATTATCACAGTTGGTTTAAACAATTCTTTCTGTTACTATTAGTAATTTAGTAGTGATAAATCAACTTATTGTACATGAATGAAGTTTGTCATTAATTGAAATATAGTCACTATTGAAAGGTTTTGTTTAAATTAACTCTAAAATCTCCACAAAACACATTCTGATAATAATCACCTGCTCACTAGTGACTGACTTCAGGAGATACTCCGGAGTTCTAGTAAGAAGTAGTGATCAATGGAATTCAACCAGCTCAGTTGTCAGATAGTAACTCTCTGAAGACAATGGTGTACGGTGGCGCAACTTCGTGGATTGGTTGAAATTAGACATTAGCACCGTTGGATGCCGGCTCAGTGGTCTAGTTGGTTAGGCGTCTGGCGCGAGAGTTATAGGTCCTGGGTTCGAGTCTCGTAAGGGGGGCGGGATCGTGGGTGCGCACTGCTAGGACGAAACGGCCGTCCAGTGCTTCCAGGTTCTCCATGGTGTTCTAGCTTCAACTGACTAATGTTTTCAACCAATGAAATTTCTAAAATCTCCACAAAACCGATTCTGACTTATTAATATAACTCATTCATTTATAGGTATATATTGTACATTAATATCTTTGATTTTCTTTCTGGGTAAAACGAATTGTGATACGTTGAAGATGAGCATCAACATTCAAATGGGATGTTTCACAGGAATCGCATCGTTATTATATTGAAATATGTGCTACCTGCTTGAATATCTTCGCTACCTATTCCTGCCACCTAGATATTTCAACACGTTTTTTGTTTCCTTGTTTGTTTTAGCAGATCATTATGTTAATTCATTGCATAACCTATTCAGGTGAGTTTGTGAAAAGTTTTGACGACATTTTACTATACAAGTTATAAAAGAGCCCAATCAGAGACATCTTGGTAACTGGCACTATCCATCAAAAGAATAATATATTATTCAGATGTTGACTGTCTGAACTGCTAGCATGTAAACTGGCGATCACTCAGTATTTATTGTCAATATCCATCAAGAAATAAAAAACGGAAACTCAATAATAATAATAAGACAAAGTTGTAAATAAAGTTGGTATTTCAAAGATTTTGCATAATTTGTGAGTAATTTTTAGTGTAAAGATAAATTTACTGGAGAACTATTATGACCAAAAAGGCACTAGACAGTTGTTTTGATTAACTTTAGGACTCATCACTAAAGTGTAATTCTTTACTGGTTCCATCTCGGTAACTTGACCACATAGTTCTTATCACATAATCTAAAGATTCTAGACTGAATTCTGTGTCAGTTATAGAGTGAACACTAATGACTAGTTATAGAATAGAATAAAAGATATCTAATTTTACTCGGCTTTTACCTGCTTTTTAACTGATATAACTTAATGATGAAGATCATCTTTATCAAGTTCATTTATTTCATTGGACGGCCGTTTCGTCATAGTATAGGACTCCTCAGTAGTGCATATTCACGATCCCGCCCCACGGGATTCGAACCAAGGATTCTCACAATAGGACGAAATGGCCGTCCAGTGGTTTGAGGTCTAGCTTTGATTGGCTCATGAACTCAATCATTAAATTACTATAGTATCCACAAAACCTCTTTCTAATATTAAACAGAATAATTTCGTCTCATCACAAAAATACAATTTTAAATCGTATAATCAGTATTTTCAACCACAAATTTCAGTCCTAAACATCAATCAGAAGATTTTTATAAATAATACTAAGCGAGTTAAAACCTCACCCTATTTCAAAAGCATGTAACTATTAGGGCTCAGTAGCTAAGCGGATAACATGATAGCCTTTGGAGAGAACGGTATTGAGTTCTAGTCCCAAAGTGAACATGAATTCTGAGATGAAGTTACGTCTAGCTTATGAGTCCCAAATTGGATGAAACGCGTGTTATTTTAAGTTTCTGCATGATTAGGACTTGATACTTTCCTCTCTCTCTCTCTCTCTCTTAAATAATACTTTCCATCATATGATATATATGAGAATTGATTATTTCGTAGAGACTATAATTTATGGATGACCTTTAAGTGACGTTAAAGTGGCCTTGAGAATGTTCAGCTACTTACTAAGGCTAAATGAGTGTTATAAACTTGCGTGACGAATAAGGATTATGATTTACAGTTGGATGGTTAGGGTTAAGAATTAGATCTAAGAGTATTCATCATGAACTGACATTAACAAAATTCCTAAAGCTCTCTCTTAAACGAAATAGATAAATGAATTTCGCGCTAAATTCCAAAATATGTTATTTTATATCTTATTGATTCGTTCATACATTATAGTCCCAATCATTATTACTAATGTAATAATACTAACTTACTTCAATATATTGTTGTGTAGATTGTATTACATTTGATTTAATATAAGTAGTTGATAATGTTCAGTATAATTAGAAATTGGTTTAGATTCATTAAATTCACGATAAAAATCATCATTCACATCATCATCATCATCACCATTATCATTATTGTGATCATCATTGTGATCATTTGTATAATAAGTGAATGGATCATTAGATTTATGAAATGATTTCAATGATAATTCTGGTGTTTGAATTTGTGTATAACGATTAAATGGAACTTGATTTGATTTTGTAAAACAAACATATTCATCATCATTATTATTCTTATTCTTATTCTTATGAATTTTGAATGGATTATTGAAATATTGTGAATGATGATGATGCCGTCGTAATCGACGATATACAATATAAATAAGTAATAATAATATTATAATAATACATAATACACTTAATAAAATAATCAATAAATTATTTGTTAAATGAAACATTTCAAATTCGATTTCATTATTTTGTAAATAGTTACTATGATTATTATTAGTAGTAGTAGTCTCCTTAGTAACATTAATTTCTAGAAGGTGATTCCTTCTAGTAGACATTGTATTTTGATCAGATATATTCACTTGTCTAGATCTAATTTCAATGATAATCAACTAATTAATAATCAAACAAGTTTTACCGATAGGATTTAATACAGATTACTAATTATTATTATGACTATTATTACACAATGATTATGATTTTGTAAGAATAGTGTAATCCTATTTACATTATGAATAATAATCAGTTTATTATGTATAGATATTGATCGATTGATTGATGAGTACGTAATTTTTTTCTATTGAATGTTTTATCTAATTCAATATGAGTTATATTAATTATCGATTAAATTGAACCTTTTTTGTGTGTGTCTGTGCATGTGTGTGTTATTGATTGATTTTGTCTACAACTATGATTAACTACACGAATAGTATTTATTGCACGAGAAAAATGCAGTTAAATCAATCTTGTATGGGTATAGATGTACCATCATCATCATCATCATCATCATCATCATCATCATCATCATCATCATCATCATCATCATCATCATCATCATCATCATCATCATCATCATCATCATCATCATCATCATCATCATCATCATCATCATCATCATCATCATCATCATCATCATCATCATCATCATCATCATCATCATCATCATCATCATCATCATCATCATCATCATCATCATCATCATCATCATCATCATCATCATCATCATCATCATCATCATCATCATCATCATCATCATCATCATCATCATCATCATCATCATCATCATCATCATCATCATCATCATCATCATCATCATCATCATCATCATCATCATCATCATCATCATCATCATCATCATCATCATCATCATCATCATCATCATCATCATCATCATCATCATCATCATCATCATCATCATCATCATCATCATCATCATCATCATCATCATCATCATCATCATCATCATCATCATCATCATCATCATCATCATCATCATCATCATCATCATCATCATCATCATCATCATCATCATCATCATCATCATCATCATCATCATCATCATCATCATCATCATCATCATCATCATCATCATCATCATCATCATCATCATCATCATCATCATCATCATCATCATCATCATCATCATCATCATCATCATCATCATCATCATCATCATCATCATCATCATCATCATCATCATCATCATCATCATCATCATCATCATCATCATCATCATCATCATCATCATCATCATCATCATCATCATCATCATCATCATCATCATCATCATCATCATCATCATCATCATCATCATCATCATCATCATCATCATCATCATCATCATCATCATCATCATCATCATCATCATCATCATCATCATCATCATCATCAGGCAAGCACTAATATGGAATCCTGAACGGAATCGAATAAGAGTTGGGAGAAAGTAAACACCATGTTGGGAATTGGAAGGAGACAATAAACGGATCAATAGCAATTGAGAAGGATTGTACATGATAGAGGTGGATGGAGAATGCTGGTCAGTGGCTTGTTCTCCTCCATGAAGGTAACAAGGGCCAGTGAGTTAGCTAAAACATAGAACCAGTCACATATATGCATCGACTCAAGTTGCCACACCTCATCAGCACAACATGATGAACAGCGAATTCATAGAAGTAGTTAATACAATGGTGGTAATATATAAAATAAAGATTGCATACAAGGATATAGTACAGGAAGAAAGAAATAAAAGAACTTTAATCTCATAGTTTAAGGGAAGACATAGAGTGTATACACCGACGCCATTGTGATCGATTCTGATTTATATCACCAAGAGTCTCCACCCATTTTTTAGGAGTAAGGAGTAAGTAAGTAATTAATAGATATATTATTAATTTTCTATCAGATAGGTGTTTCCGGAATGACTGCATATCAGATCTTTTGAGTAGTGATAAGAAATTAATTATTTTGTGAACTGTATTCTTTACATGTTGATATCCGTTGAAATAGAATTGGAAACGAAAGGAGATTGAACAATTATTTTTTTTTGTATGGTATTTACTAGCAGTTCGTATTCATGACTCAACTTAGGATCAAGCTCAGGAAATTCATGTCCATCAGTAAATGCTTGGTCACTAAAACCAATTTGTCGGCGTTTTAAGGTACAAGAGCTTACTGATATTTATAAAATTAGCTCCGATAAGGTAAAAAAAGGTATACATTTTCATTTTGTATCAAGTTTATCAATAAATGTATTTTGAGGAGTCCCATACTGGAACGAAACGACCGTTCACTGCTTTCAGGCTTTCAACAATGATCTAGCTGAGATTGATTCATGATTTTATTTAAAAAATAGGTATCTAGTTAGAGCATGCTTTTCCACTTGTTGCAACACACATATATTTTTGGTTGCCACAACTGTGAATGCTCAAAAACTGTAGCTGATTGAATGAAATCTATCAGTTAATTTTGTTTTGTCATTTAGATTCACAGTTATCAAAACTGATAAAGTATAGTGTAGACAAATGGGTCAGTGTAGTTTTCAGAATTCACAGACTGACAACAAATACGACTGCTATTCTACAGTATTCAGTGTCATACTGGGTGGTATTAATAGCATGACCTGTGGTTGTATTTCACGAAGATACATAAAAATAATACTCGATTAGGTAGGCTGAAGACAAAACAAATTTTGCGTAATATTTGTGTAAACTTATATTTCGATTTAGGTGGGAGGTGATTATTTATACTGTGGTGTGTACTACTGATATCGATAAATATAAGTAGTGTGTGTCATCAGTCGAAAATGAAATGTCTGTCAGTAACAGGTTAAGAAGATCGAAGGAAAGAGAACAGAAAGTGATTGGTATGGAAACGAAGGAACAGTCAAGTCTGAGACAAATGACTGACATTTTGCAAATGAAGAATTTACTGTATGGTTCTCATTCTGTAATTTTGTGTTCAAATATATTTGATTGTTCCGAACTGAGTTCTCGTCCACTACATGCCCTAACTTGTAGTTAACAAGAAGGCAGCTATCCATTTTATATGACTATCAAATGCTGCTCCATCACTAATATGTTCGATGGTAGTGTATAAGTTTATCAGAGATCTGATCTCATTTATGAAGTCTAAATCTGTGTTCTCTTGTATCCTAGCGAAAGAAGTTACCACTTAACTATTCAAATTCTATTCGTTAAACAATATCATCTTCAATGATGTAGGTATTTTTTGTTGATTAGTGTTGACTTGCATGAAACATACTTGTCGTTCTTCCAATGGAATACGTCTATCTATCTGATATGGTGATGAAGTATTTCATCTAAAAAAGGAATCAAGTTATGTGATGCAACCTGTTAAATAACCAGATAATGATAACTGCCAAACTGTTAGTTTCATTTCTCGTATTTTTTAAAATTTATCTTGATATTTTTAGGACCATTATCTTTAGGGAATAAACTCCCAGTAAAACTGTGGGAACGTATTTATTTTACTATTCAAGTAGAGATCAAGAGTTACTAGCAGTGAGAACCATTTCGTAAGTTCCCTCCTATTTGAGATTCGTCAGCTGGATGTACCTGTATCTTAGTGTATATGAATAAGCTAATGGCTACAGTAGCTCGGTGAATAACGTGTTGTGTATTGGAAGGAAAAGGTACTGGGTCTAAGTCTCGGTGTGAAGATCAACATTGGAATGTGCCATGTACATTCAGCTGAAAATTCCTGAATATAACGAAACACGTATCCTAGATTCTACTGCTGACCACATACTATCTATTCACTATTAAGCTTGTAATAAGGTGAATACATTGAGGCAATTAGATGACGATTCATATCTACCAAAAGAGATTGATCAAATTTAAGTCCTCAATATCAACAATGGCAAGATTCGAGCACTTACGAATAAACAAACTTTTTTCTAAAGTTTCCTAACGGTGACCAACCTTTTTACATTAGTTTCAGGTCAAGTTAATCACCATTAACCTTCATATACATTTTTGATCAAGCATTATATAGTTCCATTAGTTTAATTAAATATTCAACCAGTTGTCAAAGGATTCTATCTTCTGAAAGATGTTGAAAAATAGGTTTACTGAGCACAATTATTAGTTTGATTATCTGCCAAAAAGACATCAAATTAACTACATTTAATTCACTGGTTATTGTTTTACTTGAATCTTCTCATTGATGTTTTAGGACTGAAATTGATCAGTCTCTTATTGGCATATGTGCATACTGTGCGTATGCCTCGATATTGCCTTAATTTACAAGCATTATAAGCAAAGATGGATAGTGGCTAGCAGTGAAATCCAGTTTGACACGCGTTTCGTCCTGTTTGGGACTCGTCAGCTGGATGTACCTGCATCTCAAACTTGATGTTCACTCTGGAACTCGAACTCAGTACCGTTCACTTCGAACACCATCTCGTTATCCACTTAGCTACTGAGTGTTGATAGCCACTTGCTTGTGCAATGGGTTGAAGTTTAATTCACTTGGTATTGTTTTACTTGAATCTTACCATTGATGTGCATGTTTATGGTTCGGAAATACGGTCGTTTAAAGAATTACTTATCCTCATCTCTAAACTAGACATTTACAGATCATTTTTTTTATTCAGCGTCAAACACGATACAATAATCCTAAAGGAATTCAACAAACACATATTATTATCATCTACTAGGGGGTCTCAGTATTATTGCACTATGTAAACGGTTATTCCCACTAGTATTTACATAATCAAATAACAAAAAAGTCAAAGACTATTCAATAAACATATAGAGTAAGTGAATTTATTACTCATTTCAATGATTAGCATTCTCAAGGGAGATGAAATTACTTTTTTGTATTCCAATGTAAGTAGACTTGTAAACTAGGTAATAATAATAAAGTATTATTATTATTATTAATAGTAATAATTGTAATATTATTAATAATAATGATAATAATGATAGGTAAGATGAGAAACATTGCAGTGAATAAACAATATTACTTTTAATGAATACATAGAGACATAGAATGTGTGTGTGTGTGTGTGTAAGAATTAGAGACCAAGATAGTAGTCCTTCCACTTACAATACAATCATTTTTATATAATTCATTATGTAAAGAAAAGTACAGAGATTTTTTTAAAAAAATGCAAAGAGATTTGACATAGAAGACAAAATAAGGAAAAGTAAAAGAAAACGGTACCTGTATATGTATGTCACTAATTATTGTAATAAATGTATTAAGACCAGTTAGCAATTATAGATTATAGATAGATTTTTTTTTAATTTTTCATTTCGATACTTAACCCATATGGTGCATAATTATTGATAAGAAGGTCTAGATAGACAAATAAAGATATGGCATATATGATGACTGGGTTTTCTTTTCTTTTCTTTTTAGCGAGACTCAGTATCATGTTCAATATGAATGTAAGTGCTTATAGATAAATGTTCATATATATATATATATATGTTTGTGTGTGTGTGTGTTTGTATGGAACCTGGTGGATTCTGTGCATTATAGTTGTTTATTTCCATAGACTAGGCCAAAATGATAGGAACCAATGACGATTTGATGTCTCTTGTTTACATATATATATATTTACTTATTTATTTATATATATATGAGCAAACAATTAATAACACAAAACTACAAACAAAAATTGGTGTGTATATGTATGTTTGTACGAAACCAACGAAAAACCAACAAAAAGTGAATTTTGGATGAGCCTAAACACAATTGAATGATGTTGTTGTTTTTATTGCAAAGGGTAAAGGAGCTCATCTGAAACTGATGTTTTTTTTAATATAAAAAAAAACACTACCGCTGAATAATGTTCAAAACAACCTTCAACAATGATCTCAAATGTTGAAGGTGACACAAAATAGGTGTATAGGTGAACTTAGGTGTAGGAAGGAAGGTAGGTAGGTAGGTAAGACAATAGGTGTATAGCCAAGGGAAAGGTAGGTATACATGATTGTGTATGTGTATCTATTACTATAATCTATATATGTAATTGATTCACCTTTCAAACAGTCTTAACACACATTATTATTATTATTATTATTAATGTCATGTTAGTATTCTTTAGTTGTTGTTCACTATAAGCCCACACACATACATACATACATATATACTAATACAGATATATAGAAAGAGTGAAATGCACAAAAAATAAGTATGTACTGAATACAATTGATCTAAAACTAAATATGAAGCTGAAAAAGTAAACGAACTGGGGTTTAGAGGGTATTGCAAAAATGTAAAATAATAATGAACAGTTTGATAGAAAGCATTTGTAAAGATGTTATTCTTCTTAGAATACAGTTCATTACTGGTCAATAGCAATTCAATTGTTAATTTATGTGATTTACTCTTCTTCTGGTGCTAAGCTGGCTGTTGGCTTACGAGCACGATTCTATTAAGAAATATTTAAAGAAAAAAACATAATAAAAGAAAAACTCATGGAATAATATTCATAATAGTTATTAAAACTAATTAGATAAATGAAAATACGAAGAAAAGAACTCAGTAGCTAAGTGGATAGTACGATGGCGTTTGAAGCGAACAGTATTGGGTTCGAGTCCCGGAGTGAACATCAACTCTGAGATGCAGGTACATCCAGTTGACGAGTCACATACGGGACGAAATATGAGTCTTCGATTCGACTGCTAGCAACTATCCATCTTTGCTTATGAAACTTGGGACTTAAGGCAATATCGAGGCGATCTGCATAGGATGCATATGTGCCAACAATAAACTGATCAATTACAGTCGTAATCAATAATGTAAAGATATCAAGTGAATGAATATAAGAAGTTTGTATGGAGAATTACTGATGATACTATAATTTATGAACGACCTTTGAGCGATGCTGAAGTGACCTTGAGAGTGTCCATCTAATAACTATGATCAAATGAGGGTTATAAACCAGGGTGAGGAATTAGAATTATGATTTACATTTGGTGGTTAGGATTGGGAATTAGATTTAGGGTTTTTATCACGAACTAACATAAGCTATAATGCCAAAACTCTATTTAGCCAAATGGATAAGTGAATTTTGCGCCAAAATCCGGAATCTGTTAACTTATACCCGACTGGTTCGTCCATATGTCTATAGTCTCGCCCAATAACTCATTGGAAGTGCTCACTTAGGATTCTACAAACACGGAATTCAACAAAGATACTTCAGTGTCCGGGTATAATGTTTCAGTAACAATTAAACACTGGATCTGTATCTAATTATGTAAATTATTGTGAAAATTTATCTGATTCGAGGTATAGAACGACAATTGACCAGTATTAACAATGATATCTGTTTAATTTAAAGAATGGTAGTATTCCATAGGCCATAGATTGTTCAACGAATTTAAAGAATTCTCTTTTGAATAAATATAAATAGTAAGTACAAGGTGATGATTGTTATCAATGAATGATCCTCAAATAGGATGAAACAACTATGTTTTCCTTTCCTACCTTTTAACAGTAAGTTCTTTGGTTGATTTCATTCTATAGTGAATAATGGTAACTAACTGAAAAACATTAAACTTGAACAACTTCTAAATATGCTTTTTTTCTTTATTAAATCTATATACTTAAATTATATGGATAGTCAGTCAGTCAGTGGTCTTGAGTGCTGTTAGAGGTATGAGGGCGGTTATCACTTCCCGGTTGCCCACACCGTGGAAGGGTTCTTCTGGAGGTACCTGAAAAGGAAATCGGATTAGAGGTGGTCTTAGTGACCTGGGAACGTGACCGCAGTGCCCAGGGGACAACTGCTTGAGGTCGATCGCACACGACCTTTTTATGGATAATTTTTGTGTTAGCTCTGTACTTGTTGAGACCTTACCGCCGGAGACGGATATCCGTGGCATAAGGCGAGGTGTGCATTTTTATAGTCGACGTTTTCTAACCCCACCCCTCCTTATGGGAAGGCAGCATCGCTGTTATGCTGGTTGTCTGAAGGAAACACCTTACTGCTGTCACACCTCTGTACAGCCAGCAGTACGACTTCGCCTTCGGACCTTAGGTTTGTTGCTTTTAGTCTTACCGCTCTTCAACCGACCTGTCTGACATGGTAGAACCTTGAGGAACGGTTGTTTCAACCAGTATAGCTCGGTTGCTTCATCACGATAGGAAAGCCCGACCACCACGTCAGGGTAGCAGTGGAATCCAAGACGCGTGTTTCGTCCTGTTTGGGACTCATCAGCTGGATGTACCTGCATCTCAAACTTGATGTTCACTCCGGAACTCGAACTCAGTACCGCTCGCTTCGAACGCCATCGCGTTATCCACTTAGCTACTGAGTCCTGCCTGTGCGATGGGGTGAAGTTTAAATTCACATAGTATTGTTTGTTTGAATTTTCCTATTGATATTTAGGACTGCAATTGACGAAACGCGCATCCTGAATTCCACTGCTAGCCACTATTCATCTTGCATATAATGCATGTGAATTTAGGCTATATAGAAGCAATAAGCACAGTATGCACATATGCCAATAACAGACTGATCAGTTGAGGTCCTAAACATCAATAAGAAGATTCAAACATACAATACCAAGTGAATTTAAATATACTTAAATGTTTATTTCTACGTCAAAACAGTTTAACTGAAACTTCAGCTACACACAATCATATCTCAATTTTTTAAAAATTGCTAATACTATAATAAAATGTTTTATGTAACGTTTACAACTACCGATCACGGTTATTGTATTGGTTTCAACTAAATAGTCTAAACCTAAATGATTTAAACTAATAGTTATTGACTTCGTGAACTGATGAAATGTTTTCATTTGGCCATCCCTAAATTTCTTTCAACATACTCCTGAACTAAACAACATCGTCCATCGAAGAAAGCTTCTATGGTCAAATATTTTTAACCTATAAATGAATATCCTATATTTTTAAAGGCCAAATATGTCAATCATAAAGTATAAAAGAACGAAATGATGTGCAGTATAAGCATTTCTCCGCTGGCAGAAAGATGTTGCCTATGTTGCATAAGCAACTGAACTTTTAAATCCATAGCTGATAAGATTTTTTGAAATAAATGAAACTGTTGACCTTACCTAGGATGAATAACTCATCAGACAATGATTGTAGAGAATAGTTTAAGAATGAATACTTACTGCATGTCCAGGTCCACCAGCTGGTGCAGCGCTTACACCACGTGCTGTTGATACTGATGATCTATTTTTAGCTCGAAGTTTTTGTAATGCTTGTTCTGCTTGATCAGCACGTTCTTCAGCATCTTCAATTTCATGTTGTATTTTACGATATTTAGCTAAATTGATAGCAGCAATCTCTTCAGCTTCTTCAACTTGTCGTTTGTATGTTTTAATTTTACCTTGAAGTTTCTCAACTAATTCTTGCATACGATCATGACTCTTTTTGTCTTCTTCAGCCTAGAAACATACAAAAAGCATAATTATATACATTATGTTTAATCTTCAATTTGAAACAATCTTTCCAAATAATTGATTCCTTTAGTTTCTATAATTTACACTATGAATTGACTTTAGTTAGACAATCATTGAAAACTTGAAAATATTAAAATAGCTATTTCGTCGTAGTGTACCAATTCTCACTTGTGTGTAAATTAACGATCCCATTATTGGGAATCGAAGCCAGAACTAATAAGTCTCGTTGACAGAACTTTAACAACAGATCATTCAGTCAGTACCCAATGCTTCACAATGATATCTTGATTTGATTCAAGTCATTCTTCAATGAAGATTATCTTCATTCTCATTTTACTGACATCATAAATTACTTCATCTTCATAAAGGAGATAAATATGTAGTGTTTTTTTTGTTTTACTGAAAAGGTTTTTCTTTTCTCAATGAATAACTAACTTACTTGTAAACTAATTTCTTTCATTCGTCGATCAACTTTCCTTAAATTCTTTTGAGTTTCACCATGTCTACGTTGTTCTGCCTCTAATTCTGTTTCTAATTCACGTACACGTTGTTCTAATTTACCCATTGCCTTACGACCATTTTTCATAGCACCTGATTCACTGTCTTCTAAACGAGCCATAAGTTCTTTTACCTTAATTAATGAAGAAAGAATCGGTTAAATAATTGAAATGATAATAAATCTGGAATTGTTATTACTGTTACATTGAAATATTAATTTAGATCACAAATGAAACAGTATAAATGTCTGTGAAATAAACATCATATCCTTTGAAAACGTTAGTGTTTGTCTGAACTCAGTAATTCAATGAATAATGTGTTAGTGTTTGAAGCAAAGATTACTGAGTTTGAGTCCAAATGTGAACGTCAACACTAAGATACAGGTAAATCCAGATGGTAAGTTTTCAAAACAAACAGAAAAACTGGATGAAACACAAGTCTTCAATTCCACTAATGGGACAAAGTTCGGAAATCCTATAAAACCTTCACAAACAAAAATAATCTGGTACAGAATGCATAATGTTGCGACCCGAGAAAACATAATGAATGGTAACTTTGGGATCCTTTTATGGACCAATACTAAACGTATATTTCTATTGTATAATTATTAAATAACTAAACTATTTATATTCATGTTCCTCTTACTATAAGCTTTATTTTGACCTATGAACCATTATTATTCGTTTCACCATTCTTGAGTTATACTCAGTATATTGATTACTACCTCCCTCATTCACAATCACATCTGGCTAATTCTTATACAAACGTTGTTTCATATTTTATTGGTACGTTGTCGTCTGTTTGATTGGTATATAAACTCAGTATGCTTGAAATATAATGATTCATATCTCAGAGGCTGAGACTTGCGTTCTAGACTTAACTGGCTGTGATAGGTGGAAAGCAGGGTCAATCAGGACTCTAGGTCGTTCTTACGTGTTTTACGCGTCTTTTGGCCGATCGATGATTCGCTGCCATCTAATCTCCTGTCACAGCTATAACACATAAATTCTATTCTTTAATAATGAGACTATGCTAATTAGCCATTCTCTCTTTAGTTCAGTATAAAATTTTTAAAAACAAACAAAATATATCAAATAATTTCTTTACTTGTATTTCAAGTTGTTTTCTAGCTTTTTCAACATGTTGTGTATGTTCTTGTTCTTGACGAATTTCTTCAAATACACGCGCGCTATCAGCCATAGCTTTTTTAGCTCGTTCATCAGCTTGTTTAGCTTCATTGGCAGCTTCTTCTAAATCGGCCTAATAAAAAAAGCAACAACAAAATAGTGAAAAATCAGAGAATTAAAGAGGGGAATGTAATCCTGGTTGGGTGAGGTATAGTTACTCACTGAATAAAATGGAAGATGATCGCACAATATATTGTGGATTGATTGCAGTTAGACATTACCACCGTTAGATGCTAGCACACTGATCTATAAATTAAGCATTTGTGCGCAAGATCAAAGGTTCAGTGTTCCAGTCTCACGTGCATGATCGTGAGTACGTACTACTGAGTTCCATACTAGAACGAAACGGCTGTCTATTGCTTCTAAGTTTTTAATGGTGGTCTAACATCGAACAGTTCATGATTTCAATAAAATAATTAAAGTGTATACATGTGAAGCTATTAGTGTTAATAAGATGGAAATAATTTCTGTTACCCTTTGTTTCGTCATCCATCTTATTGACATGTCAAGCTAGCTGGTATGTAATAGTAGTTTGGGTAAGAGCTAGAGATAGACAGATCAAACAAATAATATAAATCTATGAAGCTATTGACAGTTGATCTCTAAATTGTGATTACATAAGTCGACCTCCTTTAATGGAATACGTGTAACAATCAATAGTTTAAAAAGTTGTGTTATAAGACCTAAAATTACTTGTCAGTTTGAGTCGATTGCACTAATTTCTTATCATCTTATAAATCTTGAGGTAATTATCACTCTGAAAAATGTTCATTCTTTGACTCAGTATGTTCTATTTGCATTTCATTCTTCATATGGAAATCATTTCATTCGTTCTTCTCCCTACTTCTCATCTTAATGGTTTTCTCTTAAGTCATACATAAGTAGTATGTAGCAAGAATTAGAAATAAAATGCTTACTAGCAGAAGATTGAAATAAAGAGAAGTTAGACGAAGAATAATCGAAACAACAACAAGATCGGAAAAATGATGAAGTGTATAAAGAATGGAAATGGATAGGAAAAACATTACGCAAATCACCAAACTACATCACGAGGCAAGCCCTAACTTGGAATCTTGAAGGGATGCGGAAAAGAGGAAAGCCAAAGAGCACATTACGTCGGGAAATAAAATCAGATATGAAAAGGGTGAATAACAACTGGAAAGAGCTGGAAAGGATTACCCAGGACAGGATTGGGTGGCGAGAGTTTGTGGGCGGCTTATTCTCCTACACAAAGAGTAACAGGTGTAAGTAAATAAGTAAGTAATAAAGGATAACTCAGAATTTTCGTATAAGTTAACATATAAGAATGTAAGTGAGCGAAGAACTCAGGTGGGGAAGGCCACTTTACTGGTTAATGCAAAATTACAGAGTGTGTTCGTAAACTATGAAGACCTAACATTATAAACACCATTTGCATATTTTTATCAGTTGTTTCTTGCAAACTACATCACTCTTTCATTTCTGTTGTTATTTTCATTGCTGTTAATTTTCCTCTCTCTTTTCTTCATTTAAATTCTTCACAATCTTTGGCTTGCAGGCATTTCACTTTTGATTGATGCTACATACCACTTATATCTATTAACATAAGTAGCATACACTACAAGTATTCAACTATTAAGACATTTTTATAATTCAGTTGAATCAAGTATTTTGTTGAAAGCGATTTGTGAAAACTGGTTTATTTTTGTAATTTTTACCTGCCATAGATTGATCTCATTTAGGATATTATTAAAAACTAGATATCAATGAACATCTGTCTCGTCCCAGTTTGAAACGTATCAGGAGTGATCACCTATGATTCTACCCGTGGTCGAACCCTGAACCTTCAGATCTCAAGCTGAAAATTTAAGTATTATAATCCTTTTAATCAGCCCTCGATGTTATAACTTTAACTTCAGTCAATTCGCAATAAAGCACAACGACTACTGCATGTTCTTAGTGACATCTGTCTCACTCCTGATATATCTGAAGTTAACTAATCACGAAAAATCACTGGTGGTACATCGCTGAGGAGTCATATACTAGGGCAAATTAGCTGTTCAATGCTTCCTTGTTTTTATTTACGTTCTAACTTAGATGATGAATCCTATAATGAATGTAATCTACATATTGTTACCAATACTTTTAGGTCTCAAGAGTAGTTGAATAGAATCCAGACGTAAGTAAAATCTATTCATCATTATTCGCTAATGTTAGTTATTCTTAAATTATTTATTTTAGAAAAATAAACATAAATATTAAGCCTTACTTGCATAGCAGCTAAATCAGCTTCAAGTTTACGTTTTTGTGCAGCTAATGATGCAGTTTGTGTAGACATTTCTGTCGCTCGATCTGATGCTTCAGCACGTTCAGCTTCAGCTATTTTACGACTACGTTCAGCTTGATCTAATGCTATACGTAATTCATCTAATTCACCAGCTAATACAGTTGCACGACGTTCAGCAGCTTGAAATTGTTCACGTAAATCATCACGTTGACGTTGATCATCTTCTAATTGTGATTGTAATTCACGTACTTGTTGTTGGAACTTTTTCACATTTTTCTCTTGTTCAGCTCTAGCACGATTTGCACCATCTAAACTAACTTCTAATTCGTTAATATCTTGTTCAAGTTTCTTTTTTACACGCATAGCTTCTGCTTTACCCTTTGCTTCAGCTTCTAAACTAGCTTGTTGTGATTCCATAGCTCGTTGATGATTTTTACGTGTAGCTTCAAATTCTTCTTCTTTTTCAGCTAATCGTCGATCAATTTCTTGACGAATCTTATTAATAGACAAATAACAAAATATTTTTAAAAAAATGATATTGGGTATTAGAGAAAGTAAAAAGTGGGTGGGATCTCATCAATAGAAACAACTTGTTTACCAAAATCATTCAGGAATATTGGTTCAAAAGATGTGCTTGACAAAAAATTCGGAATTATTCCCAAATGTAACCATTGGATAATTTAATGAACAGTAAACTTACAAAGGTGAATAACAGAAAATGTGTTCAAAAATAATTTACAAACAATCTCCAGGGAAATATGTTTTCAATTACTCCAGTATAACATTATCGACTATTCAGCTACATGCATTATCCGTTGGTTTTATATTTTGTAGTACGTCTACTAACATGCATGAACTCAACAGGTACTGCCTTTACTTTGATTTGTCAAGGTCACTATCATCAATTAATTCATTTTTGTATCGGTTGTTTGAACTTTCCGATCGATGCTTAGGACTGTTATTGATCTGTCTCTTATTGCATATGTATATCCTGAGAGAATTGCCTTAGGTAACAAGTATTATAAGCAAATATAGATAGTGTCTCAAGTCCCGGAGTGAACATCAACTCTGGGATGCAGGTATATCCCAATTAAAACGAAACATTTATCTTCGATTTCACTGCTAGCCACCATTCATCTTGCTTATAATACTATCAATTATTTTCGTTCTATCCGTTAAACATAGAAAGAAAGTGTAGCATATTTTGCATTGGTTTAGTTAAAATAATTATTGTGATGTAATGCCATCTGCTGTTACATAATCGAAATGACACCTAAATGATATTGACAGTTCTATTTATACGTGATTATAATTAGGATGGATCATTGAAATGACTATTTAGATGTAATTGTATAAATAATTATTTACAAGCAAAGTTTATTGAATCGACTTTAGTCATAACGTATAGGTATCAGGTTAGTAATGTTAAGTCGCTTCAATCTACTGTTTAGTATTATAAATAATCAGTATTATGTTTAATGAATACATCTGATGTTTACAATTAGACAGAACTATGAATGTTCATTATGTAAAACGATGGTCTGACAACAGAAGAGAACAAGGACAGAGAGTAATTGGTATGGAAATGAAGGAATAGTCAAGTCTGAGACAATTCATAGACATTTTGCAAACTAAGTAATTGAACGTACAGTTTTTACATTTCACCAAATAACTCTGTAATTTTATGTTAAAATATAATCGGTTGTCCCCATCTGTGCTCTCGTTCATAGCACTAGCCGTTACTTTTAGATTGTGACTCGAAGTCAAATACACCGAATGAAGTTGACTATGAAAGACGTTTTGCCCAAAGTTTCAATAGTAATCTCATTACAATGAGAAGTAAAATAATCTTTTTTAAACATTTATATTCTAGTTAATGTTTAATGTGAAAATATCAGTTGAATGTAATTTTCATCCTAAAATGAGATTCAGTTGAAGAAACGATTAGCCATTACATTCCAACTGTAATTAGTTTAAAAGTATTTGTGTCGGGTGTGAGGCAGTCACTCACCGAAAACAATCGATGATGGTTGCAGAATGTCATGAATCGATCGAAATCAGTCATTAGCACCGTTCGATTGAAGGTCCTGGATTAGAGTCCTACGTGCAAGACCATGGATGTGTACTACTGAGAAGTTCCGTACTAGGACGAAACTGCCGTCCATTGCTTCTACGTTTTCAATGGTGGTTTAACATTGATCGATTCATGATTTTAAGAAAAGTATCCTATTTTTTCATAACACTTGGAGGCTCCATTGACTAATTGTCATATATTTGCATTCGCTGGATGTAATCAGTAAGAAACCCTATTTAGACGCAGGTTTCAAGCTAGTTATCAATCTCATTAGTAATGCGTACCAGTAATGTTAATGGAACTAATGTTCCACTCTATACAATTATAATCCGTGCCATCACAGACCTTCACAGTCTGATGAATTTAAGCTCTGAATGACCTGTGAGTATAAAATGTATTAATTTTTTCTGGAGTGATAACAGGAAAGATAACATGAAAGTTTAAAAACTTATTTAAGTGGAGCTTTATTCTCTGAGCTGAATTGTTTGATCGTGGAGCTTTCATTGTTCTTCTGAACAACATCATCAGAACAAACTTCGGGTAAAAGTAAAGTGTTAAAGTTTTGTCTGTATGAACATAAATTAGCGGTCAAACTATATGACATATCCTAGCTTATATCAATGCATGCGGACAACTGTAAGCACACATTTGACCGGAAGAATTTTTAGACCTTGGATAAAGAGAATACTAAAAGTACCATAGGATTCTTAGAAGTTTGACATTCAGGTAAATCAACAATCAACAAACACATTGAAATCGATCCAACCTATCAACCAATCAGAAATACCATAGACAAACATGGGACCAAGAATCAAAGTGATGAGAGATACAGTCAAGATCGAGGTCGACAGAAAAGGCTGTGAGTTATATGTATAGAAATTCGAACACGTCACTTCTACCTGAAGTTTGTGCTCATGACTTCGTCCAGAAGAACATGAAAAGCTCCACGACCAAAACATACAACTCAGCTAACAAAAGTTCATTCGAATCATCCACCGCAGCTACAAATCTTCTCCACCATCTCAGAAAAAATTACTACTGCCTATCCTCAATAATTCTCTCTTACTTACTTGACTCATTTCAAGTTGAGCACGTTGAACCTTAGCTTCTTCCTGTTCCAATGCACTTTCAGCTTCTTCTAATGCAGCTTGTAGTTCCTCCTTTTCCATTTCAAGTCGTCGTCTATTTTTATCAATTTCATGTACTGAACGTCCACCTTCACCCAACTGTTCAGTTAAATCATGAATTTCATCTAATTATAAAAGAAATTAATAATTAAATTAAACGATAATTATTTCACTAATAACATAAATGAAATTAGATTGTACTAAAAATCATTAAGTTTACAACTCAGTAATTACGCTGGTACCCTAAAATAAGTTAACACTACGAAAACGTTATTTTATTCAGTAAAATCATGAAGATTGTTCAATTTCACAGTTCATAAAGCGAATTGACATTATTTAGGAAACTCCTGGAAACCGAGAAATACTCGACAGCTATTTCGTCCTCGTGCGAAGTTCTTCAGCAGTTAGGATCCATGCCTCCTCACAAACGGAGGTCGAACCCAAGACCTCGAGTCTCATAAGGATCGTTTATTATTTAAACAACTAAGTGGGCATCAAGTGGTTCACATTATTGATCTTAAATAAGCCGCGATATTATGCAATTAAATTCTATTATCATAGGTGAGTGAAATTCATGACAAAATTTATAGAATAGTGTGAATACTGTAAATAGCGTCTTAAACTGCCTACATAATGTTTAATAGATAGTAAGCTACTACGATAACCTCTGATTTGTTTTAAAATGCAATCTTCCAGTGGAATAGGTTATTTGCACAAAATTGACAATAAGATGGTATGCTAAAGACACGGGGTCACTGTCTAATTATTAAAGATATCTTTGAGTAGTACATTTCATCAGAACAATTGTATAATTTTGTGAAAAACCATAAAGCCTGATGATGAATAGACAGTTTTCGTTGACTCCTTCAACTGAATGCTTGAAATCTTATTCATTTGTAGCTAAGTGACAAATTATTTATTCTAATCGCTTGATTTTATACAAAGTTTGTTACTAAAAAAAGTTTCGTTCAGAAACGAAGCTAAAGAGCTTCACCTTTCTTCTTCTTTCTTTCTCATTCTGTTTAGGTTAGTCAACTGTTCAGTACTCTTTGCAGTCAAATTTATAGATCAGTGTAACTGATGATCTCGGACTTTCTATCTGTTATTAAGTGAGATGTTAAAATCATAATATTAATACTTAAGTAATAGTACTAATAATCATTAAAATAATTAGTATTATTTATCCAATACATAACAATCAACATACCACTCAAGTTCTTATTTTCTCTACGAAGTCCTTCCATTTGCTCATGTACTTCTTCTAATTGAGCTTTTAATCGGAAGATTTCGGTTGATTGACCCCGTGCATCACGTTGAGCATTTTCTAATTCAGCCTATTTTAACCAAAAACAAAAAAACAATATCAAAATGATTATGAAAGAAAGGTTGTTATTGGTGGTGAAGTTTGTTGAATAATTTAGTTTATATCATTAATCATTGGAATTCAAGAATTGGTGAACAGTTATTCTAGTCTAATACTTGACATATTTCTATTGTGTAAGTCTATGATCAAATTGAACTGAGGATTGAAGCTAGACCACCATGGAAAACCTGGAAGCACTGGACGACCTTTTCGTCCTAGTATGGGCGGGATCGTGGATGCTCACTGCTGAGGAGTTCCATACTAGGGTGAAACGGCCGTCCAGTGCTTTCAGGTTTTCCATGGTGGTCTGGCTTTAATTGACTCATGATTTCAACCAGTGAAATTTCTAAAAATCTCCGCAAAACCAATTCTGATGAACTGAGGATTGTTTAATTTGAACTGGGACAAGACAGTTGTCTTATGCTACCTGGTTTTATAATTCATTATGATCATCTTATAATGTACAGTGTACATTTAGATTTGACTGGATACTAAGTATTAGCTTCAACAGATTTTATATGTCTCAATTTTTAGTGATATCTAACCTCCTTTTATGTTGTAATTTATAATAATCTGTAATGAATTTCAAGTTAATATGAGTTCTCACAAAAGATATTTATTGTCTATCAATAATTTACAGCAGTATAAAATTTTAAGCAAAGATAGATAGTGACTACCAGTGGAATCTAGGATTCGCGTTTCGTCCTATTTGGGGCTCGTCAGCTGGATATGCCTGCATCTCAGGACTGATATTTCAAATGAAAATTGTCAACAAGATTGTAGGCTACCTATTTTTATCTTTTCCCTGTTAATTCTTCTTTGTAAGAAAAACCCTGAAGATAATTTTCTGAATTCGTATTTCTACCTGAACGTTTCTATCTTCTAATTGTTTGTTATCACTTTTAAGTTGAGTAAATTTTCCGTTCTACAATATCTGCTACTTTTAAAGAGATTACGATATCACCTAAAACCGGTGAAGGAAACGAAAGTCAGAAATATAACAACAGGACAAACTAAACAATTCCACTACGCCCAGTCCTGATAACTAGAGGGAGAAGACCAGATTCAGCAGTGGGAAAAGTACATTCCATTAGCAGTCGGAAGCACGAACGAACATTCACACAACTCATGCGTATATATATATATATATATATATATATATATATATATATATATATATATAGTACAAAATGTCTTTAGAAACTGTCACAAAATAGTATATTAAAAGAGGAAATGAACCAATGACATTCAAGGTCCTTCCAAGTAAGAAAAACAAACAGAAGGTAACAGTGAGTGCTTTTTGCGCGAGAATGAGAAATTCAAATTTTACTGGTTGAAATCATGAGTCAATTGAAGCTAGACCATCATCGAAAACCTGGAAGCACTGGACGGCCGTTTCGTCCTGGTATGGGACTCCTAAGCAGTGCGCATCCACGATTCAACTTTCTAAAATAAAATTACAAAAATGAAACGTTTACCAAATGATTTCCGGGGATCAAACATTCTCAAGGATGCCACCTTTTGTCGTCGTTAAATATCCTTTATTGAAGATTAGTTTCAAAAAGTTGTGTATATTAGTTACCGCCTTATCATGTTTATAATTGATTCCGTTTGTATTAAGATAATTTTGATTAGTGACTACCGTAGGTTAAACCGAGAATCCAGTCAATATCGTGTATCAAGATTTAGTTGAAACTTATCTCCAACAAATAAAGTATAAGCTCATCACTTCAGAAACTGTTTATTTGTAATATTATAACGCAATATAACCTACTGAACAGAATTGTAAATATATACTGAGTCAGGAATGCTACTAATAAATCTTCCAATGAAACATTATTAATTCTTCTCTCTACAATATCACTTTCAAGTTTGTCTCATGAAAGCAGTTCTTAAATAATCCGACGTTTAGATATCAGTCTAGATATTAAACATTATGTGATTACATAGAAAAGAAATATCAAACAAGTACCTATAAGCCTCTTGTTTGATATCCTGAAGGATCATCGATATACGATTATGTGAAGCTTTATACAAAGAAGAGACAACTGTTAAATTTTTGCTATTTTCCTTTGACTGCTTACTAATAATCAGTTTATGATAGAAACTAACAAATATCTATGATTTTATTTAGTTTCATATAATAACTCACTTGAGAATCAGCATATTTCTTTTGCCATTCAGCTAATGTACGATTGAAATTATTTTGTTTACGTTCTAATTGACTAGCTAAACCATTAGCACGTTCAACATCAACCATTAAATCTTCTAATTCACCTTGTAAACGTGCTTTCGTTTTTCTAATTGTCCACATTTTGATTTGGCTGATTCAGCTTCTGATTCTAATTCTTGTATTTTAGCATTCATTTTACGTTTTAATTCTTCAACTTCTTCAGAACGTACATCTCCACCACCGCCACCACGTGAACGTAATTGTTGTAATTCACCTTGTAATTTTTGTAATTGACGTTGTAAATCACCTTTAGCTGATTGTTCTTCTTCTAATGTTTCACGTAATGAATCTAAGTCACTAGTTAAATTACGTACTTCACCGTTTAGTTTAGCTTTCATCTAAATAAATAATAGAAAAAAGAATTATCTAAAAGAAAAATATAAGAATATCATTTATAGTACATCTCTATTTATGATATTTGTGACTTAAGGTAATATCCATGCAGTCCGCACAGGATGCACATATACCAATAAGTGATTGATTAGTTAATGTCCTTAACACATGAATGAGAAGATTAAAACAATCAATAGAAAAACTCATTATACTAAATTTGGCTGGAAAGTACTAAGTTAGATTAGATAAGAAAAGTGAATCAGAGTATAACTCAAAGTAGGTAAGGTTTAGGTTATCATAATGTATGAGATGTAGCTTCGGAAACATAATAACATATCTAATCGTTTTTGTAGAATTAACAACCTATTTAATGCAAAATATCTATTTTTATCTTTCAATAACCCATGCAGTGATTATGATGAATATCACAATTATAAAACGTTGAAGAATTGCTTAACACCTATGTTGAATGAAAATCTGTTCACATCACTTTCAATGAAATCTGAAATTTGTCTATTTTTCTTGTATTGTTGGGTACCAGAAAAAGTGAATCCGAAAAATAGTATATGTCACTTTGTCTCACTAAATTCCATTGCCAGGATTAAGGCCTTTAAAAATACAGAATTGATGTGTCAAAACTACACGTCAAAAACTTGTGGATTTTCGACAATAAGTAGATAACACTTTAGCTATGTTGTCATTTTCATAGTTGACCGATACTATCGGTAATCCATTGTTCTTTTCAGGTATCTCAAAAAATAGTATACTTCAACATCATAAGCAATCGGAAATTGAAAAACCGCCATAACGCTCCCGGTGAGAAAGATTACAACCAACGGAATCAAGTGAAGACCATGTTTTATTTCGGGAAGTGATTAAAAATAGTAATGTGAACTATTGCATTTTGACACAATATTCAGTGAGTATATTAGTCCTTGTGAGATCTTAAAGCCTTAAGCTAAATTGGGTGTTAGATAATTACTAGAGAATTATCAACGAATAGTAATTACCAGGCGGATAATCAGTAAATCTAATGCGAAACGATTGATTTCGAGATTTCTATAGTCAGTCTCACTGTTTTTATCACCTCAGTAACTCCCATATGAATACTGCTCTAATTCAGTTGACCATTAGATACTTGTAGGTGATTATTCCTGTTAACTAACTTAAAATTATAATGTATCATCCATAATTAATTTAATAAATCATCATTATTCTTTACACATACTCGACTTTCATCTTCCAAACTATGACGTGCTTCTTCAAGTTGTGCACTGAGTTGTTGTTTAATTTTGTTCAATTGGCTTAATTGTGACTCAGCTTCTTCTAATTGTCGTTGTAATTCAGAAACTTCTTGACTGCTGCGTGCTTTAGTCGAAGCTTGCTCATTCAAATTTCTTGTAGCTTCATCTAATTTCACTGAAACTTCTTGTAACTGAGATTCTAGAGCCTTCACTGTTTTCTCAGAATCAACTAGATTTTTTTTCAATGAAAAAATGAAAGTAAACAAGATAAAATAAATTATATCAGATTAGGTTAAATGAATTCTGAATAGAATAGTCTCAGTGATCTAGAGATTAAATATTCACGCGAGAGACCGAAGGTCCTGCATTCGAGTCCCTCGTGTGCGTGATCATGGATACGCACTACTGAGGAGTCCCAACGCTAAGACGAAACAACCATTCATTGATTTCAAGTTATCAGTAGTGATATACCTCAGATCAATTCATGAATTTAACTATTAAAATTACTACGATCTCCACAAATCTCCATTCAGAATACAATTACTTATAAAAGTATAGAATATGAATAAACCGATCAGAATAAAGAAAAAATCTATTGACCTTTATTGCGCAAAATTCAAAAGTGTATGACGTTTATTTTACATCACATCGAATAAAAAATAGAAAAATAACTTTATGTAACGTTTGGAAAGTTTGCAACCATGACAACAAACGATGTTTAGTCACCATGATCTAAGAGAGATATTAACAATTGTTACAAATATCTAGTAATTTCTATGTGAATTGTATCTAACATGTGAAACAATCATAATGTTAACACATACGAAATAAATTTGATCATCAAAAGAAAAAAAGGAGAAAAAATTACTTTAACAGAAAGAATCACTGATCTACTTACTTTAGCTTTCATAATACTATCCACCTGATTATGTGCGTCATCTAATTCCGCTTTGAATTGACTTCGTTCTTTTTCAGCCCTATGAATAGAAATAATTATAAATATACCAGTATAGAATATTAATTAAGATCATGAATTGATCAATGTTAGGTCGACATGGAAAACTTAGAAGCAAGACATGACTGTTTCATCCTAGTATGGAACTCCTCGTAGTGCGCATTGACAAACCTTCGTGCAGGACTCGAACTCAGGGCCTTGAGTCTCAGGCGCAAACGTTTTACCACTGGGTCATTCAGCCGGCATTCAACAGTGTTAATGTTTAACTATAATCAATCCTTGATATAGTGTGCGATCATGTTCAACTGTCTTAGATCGGTAACTGCTTTACATCTGGCACGGTTGAACTCCACTAGTCACAGTTTCTCATCGCTGAGGAGTCTCATACTAGGGCGAAACACCCATTCAGTGTTTGAAGATCTTCAATGGTGATCTAACATTGGTCAGTTCATGATCTCACTTAAAACTCAACAATCTTCACTATCCTATACTAGAATAGAATATTGAATCTAATGAATTTTTTATTATGAGAAATTTTTTAGAGATTATTAAATTTTCGGTAGTTTATTTCATGAACTGATATCTTGTTAAGCAACTATTTAAGACTAGAAAACACTGAATGGAAAGTATTGTAATTATAAACTATTATGTAACTCAGAGAATACCGAACAACCCAGAAGCTTTTTTTCATACTTATTTCGAAATTCCTAATGATCAATGTTAGTTATTCGTACTCAATAAAGCATCATTAGTAAATATTTGGAGATAATCATATCATCCAGTATATTAGACAAATTATAGTTTAAAGTCAGAATAGCTTATTGTTGGGGACGTTAGATCCCCAGAACTCAATTGGGAAAAGACCTAATTTTGTAATTTTATTTAGAAAATTGGAATTTCTCTGGTTTCGCTCCAAAGGCGCTCTTGTCACCTTGATGTCGTATTTTCCACTGGGAAATATCTTAAATGCTATTGGTCCGTTGCGTCTTTTAGTATGCTATTTGGTAACTCTCACCAAAGACGGTTTTGCACTGTATATATACGTTTTGAATTGTGTTTCTTGTTATCGCTCGTTTCTGGCTGTTTTGCAGAATACACTTTCCATTCCAAGCTTGGACTTCTCTCTGTAGTTAGCGGGGCTGAGACGCATCAATAGCTAGCTTACTGGCCTTTGGTCACCGAGTCTTGTTCTCGTTCGCAGATTAAGTGAACTCATGATAACTTTAAACCTAGCACTTATTCACAATGTCACAAGTGATAACCACTCTCTAAGATATGAATCAATCATGGAGAAAATGTTATTCACTTCAACTAATACAATTCAATCCCTAAAATAAAGGGATACTTTTCAAGAGAAGTGAGATGATAGGCTAGTTGGATTTAAACAGGTCGTCTATGAATCAAAGTAGTAGGTGAGAAATAATAAATTAAGCACACACTACTAAAGGGTGATAGTTATGTAACTGATCAGATTCTTGTCTGGTCCAGAAGGGTGTATATGAGAATATGACTTAATGTTTACTGTATCAATCGATTCACTTTTTTCAATTAGAGCTTCATAGTTATTTGTTATGCTTCTACTCATATAACACAATTGGTAATTGTATAAGAAGCATGTGTGTATCTAACTGAATCAGACGTTTTGCATTGCAACAATTACATATTTGGTTTTTATTGAAAAAGGACAAGAACAATAGAAGAAATTTTCCTTGATAAAAAGTATATTATTGTAACCAGGCGGCTTGTTTGAATATCTGGGTTACTTGTTCCTATCATTTAAATACTTCAGCAAGTTATCTGTTTCCTTGTTTATTTTGACAGATCATTATGTCAATTGATTGCATAATCTATTCAGGTGAATTTGTGAAAAATTTACGACATTTCACCATACAAGTTATAAAAGAGGGCAATCAGAAATATCGTGTTAGCTAGCAATATGCATTGAAGGAATGAACATTATTCAAATGTCGATTCTTGAATTACTAACATCTAAACTGGTGATCACTCAATATTTATCGTCAGGATGGATCAAGAAAATAAGAAAAAGAAACCCGTTGAAATACTTTGTGCCGAGAATTCCATACTGTATCAAATATATAATATTGAATAAAGCCATTCATAATAATGATAGATTAGATTTCTGAAGTTAAATAGATTGGAGATTGATATCCTTGAGAAGTAAAATATTAGAGATTATAATAATAATTCATCAGTGTCAGAAGAGATAATGTTCCAGCTGAGTATTTTTACATTTAGGGTACTTTCATTTCCAGTGTTATTAAATAATACTTAGTCTTAACCATTAGTAAAACATTAATTTGATAATTAAATTCATGAGTTAATTGAAGCTAGACCACTATGGAAAACCTGGAAGCACTGGACGACCGTTTCGTCCTAGTACTGGATTCCTCAGCAATGCGCATCCACGATCCCGCCTCTCGCGAGATTCAAACCCACCGTTAGATGCCGGCTCAGTGGTCTACAGGTTTAGCGTTCGTGGGGCGGCATAGTGGATGCGTACTGTTAAGGAGTCCTAAACTACAATGAAACGGCCATCCAATGCTTCCAGGCATTCCATGGTGATCTAGCTTCAATTGACTCATGAATTCAATTATTAAATTGCTACAATCTGCATAACACCCCTCTCTGAATAAAATATGAATTTAATAATATTTTTCTTACTTTGCTTTAGCTTTATTGGCTTGATCTAACTGATCAGCTAATTCATTGACAGCATCACTTTGTTTTTTACGCATTGTAGCTATTGCTTGTTCATTTTGTAAACGTGTATCTTCTAAATCACGTTTTAATTTCATTAATTCTGCTTCACGTTTTTTAGTTAAATCACTTTGTGCTGCTGTAGCACCATCTTGTTCTTCTAAACGATCTACAACCTCTTCTAATTCACTCTCAAGCTTTTATTGTAATATTTTTGAAAAAAAAGGAGGAAAGAAGAAAAAAGTTTATTAGCTGAGTAAACAATAGATATTTAAGTAGAGGTGGATAGTAGCTACTAATGGAATCTATAACGCGCGTTTCGTTCTATTTAAGACTCATCAATTGAATGTACCTACATGTCACATTTGTTATTTATTCTGGGAATCAAACACAGTAATATTCACTTCAGATACCGTCACATTATCTTTCTAATTAGCTACTGAGTACCGATAGTCACTGACTTGTACAACGGAGTGAAATCTAATTCATTTATATTGGTTGAGATCATGAATCAATTGTTGTTAGACCACCGTTGGAAACCTGGTGGTCTAACATCAATTGATTCATGATCTCAACCAAAAACTTAACAATCTCCACAACCCCCATACTGATCATTTATATTGTTTGTTTTGTGTTTAAGACTATATGCATCCTGTACGGATCACTTCGATGTTATCATTGTTGGTCAACATCCATCGGCGCGTATAATGCTTATGACTTAAGGTAGCATCAAGACAATCACTAGGTACTTGGTTCGAGACCTAATGTGAATATCAACAGTACAGTTCAGGTACACTCATCTAATTAGTCACAAATAGGATAAAATACATCTCCTATCTTTCATTATCACCTATGGTAAATCTATTCTAAATAAATTATACAATTAATAAAGCAACTTTAATTTTAATTTCACTATTATACAGTTGGTTAAGTTCCGTAAGAAGTATTATGAATTCATTCATTTCTATCTTCTCTTAGTTCAACTAACACATATGTATCTTGTTTAGGTTTTACCTCCAAATAACACTAATCTGATGGTGATGGGTGTACTGTTTTTGTATTCCAGAAATCTGACGACGAGAATAAGTAACTTGTATTTCAAAATTTAAGGACCATTTTCCACCAAGATCTGTAGAAGCATTTAAAACCAGGAAGGTAAGTAAGCAAGCCCCTTATTGTTTATTTAAGATTTCTCTGAAATAGTACACATAAATGATCTTATACAGTATAAAACTGACAACCATCATATTATGTGGCTAACATAATAAATTTAGATAATTAAACCACAACTCAGTGGATCATAAATTCACTTGATGTTGTTTGCTTGTATCTTCTTCTAGGTTCGAGTCCAGGCGTGAGCAACAACTCCGAAATGCATGTCCATCCAGCTGATGAGTCCTAAATCGGACGAAACGCGAGCCCTGGTTTTCACAGCTATTCACTATCCATCTTTGCTTATAAATTCAGTGGATCACAATTTATATTTCAGTATATGTTTTTGACGTGACTCAAGCGATTCTAAATGAATTTGTAACTATTCACTGTTGATAATATCTGAACAAATGTGGATCAATTTTCTGTATTGTATTTCAGTTATTCTTCAACTCGTACCGACTTGTAATGAAATCTATCTCCTAATTATACTAATCTTTGACAATCTCCCGCCCTCGATAACTTATGTTTGTGTATTATTTTTCCATTTATTTATTTGATAAAAAATCGATAGCTGACATTCATCTGATCAATATAGTGAAAATTCCCATTTTGCCATTTGGTAAATAAAGAAGGAACGAATTGAGCATCTGATCAACCGAATTAAACAAAACATAATTCATCTTCTCCATAGTTAACATTCTTTTATTTTGAATATAAGTTTGTAACTTAAACTGCAAAATTTTACTTACCTGTTGTCGACTTTTCTCAGCTTTTGAACGAGCTGCACGTTCCGCTTCTAGATCTTCTTCTAATTCTTGTATACGTGTTTGAAGTTCTTTAATTTTTCTTTGCAATTGTGCTACTAAACCTTGTTCATCTTCAAATTTCCCACTTAAACCACTAATTTCAGCTTCTTTACGTCGTAATTGTTCTTCTAAGTCACGTTTTACACGTTCCAAATCATCAACAGTTTCTTGTGTAGCTTTTAAATCACCTTCTAATTTACGTTTGGATTTTTCGACATCACCACGAATCTTTGTTCACGAGCTAGATTTTCTTCCATCTATATGAATAAAAGGTAGTGTAAAGTAATAATAATAATAATGTGATAAGTAAACAAAACAGTACTACAAGTGATTATCAAAGGAAGTACGCTTGAAACAAATAAAGTGACGAAATCGTGAAGAGATAACGGAGAGAAAAGATATTTAATTGGAAGACGACTAAGTAGTTTCTAATAAACCAGTTAATAAAAATATGTACCCAAGAATATTTCTCTCAGTTAAGCAAGTTCCTCTCATTTTCATGAAAGGTTTAAAAATAGAACTATTACGGGATCCTTATTGACTTCTATTCTGAACCATGTCTGATAACGTCTCAAGCCATTGAATTGCATCATCTATCAGAACTCAACTGAAGAGTAGTGGTGTCAGTCTTATACAGATTTCTTCAATACCGGGGACCATATCATAAAATGATCATCTTCCCAATCAGTCCGAGCGTCGATAAATAATGCACGATATGGAAGTCGACGACATGACATTTGTATCATATGTTAAAGCCACAAAAAAACTGTGCTTCAAGATAGAGACATTAACTAAGTTACTGTGGATATGTTAAAACACGCAAACCAAACCTGAGCATTACTAACACGCTATTACCCCTGGACGTTAGCAATCCTCCAAAGGCAACAATGATCGAACATAGGTATCATTACCAAGATTTGATTTGGTAATTTCGAATAAAATGAGCATTGGGTTGATTTTTAAAAATAACTAATATATTTGTAACATCTCAGTGAGTAAATAAATTAGATTTTCCGACGTTTCGTGACTTGGCGTAAGCCACTTCTTCAGATAATAAATAACCAAATTAAAATTAATCCAAGTTATTGTTCGGTTGTACTATTTAAACTTGGATTAATTTTGGTTTGGTCATTTATTCTCTGAAGAAGTGACTTGCACTAAGTCACAAAACGTCCGAAAACCTAATCTGAAGGGAAATACAAAAGAGGAAGGTCAAAATGCACAATGTGTTGGGATGAATAGCAACTGGAAAGGATTGTCTAAGACAGAATTGGATGGAAAATGCTAGTGAGCAGCCTATGCTGCTCCACGAAGTGTGACAGATATAAGTAAGTAATTAATTAATAAAAAAGGAATAAAAGATTCATTTGGTATTTTTTGACTTGTATCTCCCACTGAGTTTTTTAAGACTGCAATTGGTCAGTCTGTTATTGGCATATGTGCATACTGTGCTTATTGCTTCGATATTGCCTTAATTCACAAGCTTTTTGTATGCAATGATGAATAGTGGCTAGCAGTGGAATCCAGGACACGCGTTTCGCCCTATTTGGGACTTGTCAGCTGGATGTACCTGCATCTCAGAGTTGATGCTTACTCTGAGACTCGAACCCAGTACCAGCGCACAAGCAAGTTGCTATCAGGACTAAGTAGTTGAGTGGATAACGCGATGGCGTTTGAAGCGAACGGTATTGGGTTCGAGTACCGAGGTGTATATCAACTCTCAGTTACTGTTGAATCCAACTGACGAGTCCAAAATAGGACGAAACGCGCGTCAAACTGGATTCTACTGCTAGCTACTATCCATCATTGCTTACAAAAACGAATGAAAGATATTAAAAAAAAATACATTTCATCCATAGACTTACTTCATCTAATGTTGATTCTAATTTCGCTTTTAATTTATTTAAATGATTCACTTTATCTTCTTCAGCTTGTAATGCTTCTTGTGTACGTTTATTTTGTTCTTCTAAATTCTTTTTATCTTTATTTAATTTTCCAATAGTTTCATCTTGTTGTGCCATTTCAGCTTGTAATGTACGTATTTGATTATCTTTTGTTTGTTTTTCTTGTTCAGCTTTTTGTAATGATGATTCTAAATCTTCTACATCTTTTTTTAATTCTTCAATTTCACTAGACATTTTCTTTTAACTTCATTTAAATTTGCTGCTTGATCTTCTTCATCAGCTAAACGTTCTTCTAATTCTTTAATACGTTGTTCCATATCACCACGTTGTAATACAAGTTTTGAAATTTTCTCTTCAGCATCCGCTAAACTATCTTGTTCAGTTTGTAATTGTAAAAATAAATCATTTTTTTGTTGTAATACAGTGACATTTTGTTCTTCTAATTCTTTTTTTAATTTTTCTAATTTTTCAAATTCTTCTTTTAATTTAGCTAATTCTTCAGCGGCTTTTTTCATTTCTTCTTCTTGACGTGCTATATTTAACATAGGTTTCACTTTGGTATATAATCTCCACCATGGCCAGTTACGTAATACTAAATATTTACGTATATTACGTTGCATTAATGTTAGGGCAACACTAGAATATTAAAATAATAGAAAATGAAAAGAAATGAAAAGATTTTGATAGATTGAATTGTAAAATTTGAAATGAAGTAAGGTCTATGGTAGATCCCCCAAATGCCCTGATATGGCCGAGAATGGAGTGAGCCCGCCCTCCCTCTCGAAATGCTCTCACAAGGCCACGCGTATACAGCCTCTTCCAGGGAAGTCCTACTCACTGCCTTCTCGTAGCGGGGTGTTGTTTACGAAAATGAGAGGACGAAAAACGAATGTCCGGCGCTTTAACCGGATTCCAAACCAATAGTGCACATGGACTCCAGGATCCTGAGGTAGAAGATGGCGTATGAACTAATCGTTGGTCACCGGCTACCATGGGACGGCATCTACTCACGATGCTCCACTACCTTGTGAGTCAGACCTTAAGGTCAAAGGCTCGGGATGTGGCCCCCTAAGATAACCACCTGCTTCGGTTTGGGCACTCGGGCAGTATCACAGCCCGCACACACACAAATATGGTGTGGCGCATATATATTTGATGCCCTCTAGTACCAATATTTATGTGTTGAAATAAAAATAATAAATGGCAGATCCCAGCAGAGGAAGAAATCAGGAAGAGTGGCTGGAAGTGGATAGGACACACAGTGAAGAAAGCACCGAACTGCGTCACAAGACAAGCCCTCACATGGAATCCTCAAGGCAAAAGGAGGAAGAAGAAGACCAAAGAACACATCACGCCGAGAAATGGAGACAGACATGGGAAAGATGAACAAGAATTGGATGGAACTATAAAAGAAGGCCCAGGACAGAGTGGGTTAGAGAATGTTGGTCGGTGGCCTATGCTCCATTAGGAGTAACAGGGGTAAGTAAGTAAGGTCTATCGGTCAAATCATATCATTGATTGTATCGGGATATGACAATAATAAGGCGTTTTTTTTCCTTTATACAACTAATACTTGTAGAGAGGCTACCACCTAATCCCAGTAGGATAAGAAAATTAAAAATTGTTTAGTCTAAAACACATCTCATCTTTGGTCATGAATTTTCACTACCAAGTGGAAAGGTTTTAAAGTACAAAGCGAACACACAAAACTCAATGTGTAACCATTTTTAAGCAGTTGCGATCAAGTTTTCAAGTTATCAAGACCATTTATTTCTCGGTTTCTTTTACAGGTAACCAATGATTAAGTACTTTACTTCTGTCACTTCCAACCGTCGCGAAGAAACAACTTTTATAACTGTCATTAAATTCGAGATGAATATATGTAAATCGTTGTCGGAATTAGATCGAATTAGTAATTTTAAAATCAATATACTCAGTGGTACTCTACAAAGTTGATCAGCATCATACATGCAATACGACTAGACCTATGACGCTTCTGGCACCCAAAAAGCGAGTTTATATTACGTTACCATTCAGAGGCGACACAAATAGTCTCATTTTAAAACGGAGACTTAAATTAACTATCAACCGGACATTTTATGCAGCTCAACTTGTCATTATCAAAAAGACAAGGTCTATGTTTCACCAAAAGCCCAAACAGCACGAAAACGATTGTGTCACATCCCATTGTGTATGTATGTGTGGAAACATGTACATAGGGAGGAACAATCGTGATTTGCAATTAAGGATGGGTGAACATATACCAAAATGTTTTCAGAATCAGATGAATTCCAATGGTCAAATAAGACCACAGGATAGACAGACATCATCATCCATTGCGAAACATTTGATTGAGACTGGTCATAAGGTTGACAGCAGGTCAGCATTTGTTGTGTTGTACCAAAACCTTCAAGGACGTATACTAAGGTTTATTGAAGCCTTGGCTATACGGAAATTGAAACCCCCTTTATGTGTTCAAAAACAATTTGTCCCTACACTTAACCTACCCTGGTAATACTGATTTATTATCCAGAATTGTTATCACATTTTTTTTGGTGTACTTTTAATATATCACATAATTCTGATCAACTTCGTCTTCTCATTGCATTATCGAAGTTTATCAAAGGGACTAATTATTTTAAATCTTACATTTAGAAAAGTTAACAGTGTGTATACAAAAGACTCCTTCCTATTTTAACATCAACTTAGCCTTCAGTTTTTTTTCTTTTTCCAACTTTACCTTCGTTATTAACCTTTTATCTACACATGAATCTACTCATTTTGTTTTTATACCATTATGTACTACCGATATTGATTTGACATAAGCAACACTTACCGTTGATCTTGTAATTTTTTATATTGTTTTCTCATTAAATAACCACGAATTTCTGCTTGGAATAAACTAATTATACCATTTAATTTATCATCACGTAAATCTTCTAAATGAGCTAATGTACCAGCTTTGAAAAATACTTTAGTATTACCGCATTGATATAAATTTTTATCTAATTGTGTTGCTTCTAATAATTTCTCTGTAACTTGACGACCATCAACAAATCCATCAGGTATAACATTTGGTGCCAAAATTGAGTAACTTTATATAAGAAAGAAAATAGAATAGAATATGAGAAAGGAAATAACTTGATTAGTTTTATTATATATAATCTGATATGATTTAAGCTATTGTAGTAGTATACTAAAAAGATTTTCTTTCGACTACCTTCAAATATATGAGATATCAAGTCGTTCAGACTAACGCACACATTGTAACTTCATTGACAGAGTTCATTTATCACTAAAAAAGAACTAAATGTATATGAGATAAGTCACTATTTAGTGATCAATCCATTGTCAGTCAGTCATTGACAAGGTAGGATCAGGCATATACATGTATCGGTCCAAGTTGCCACACCTCATTAGCACAACAAGACGAACACTGGATTCATAGAAGTAGTATATACATCTCACTCCTATAGGCTAATCATGTCTAGTGGAAATGTCTCAAACTGTAAAGTTAGATAAAACGGGTTCGAGTCCTAAATATGATGTCATCTCTCTAATGACTATTGATACGTTTTTTGGAAGATAAGGTATTCTACCAATTATCTTCAACTAACTGTTATCTTAAATGAATCCTACAAATAATCTGTTATATTTTCAACATTAATTCACAAAGAGTGGAAAGCTGATGAATAAAAACCAGCTATTTAGATCACAAAAGTTACCAACCATCAAGAAACTTACAAAAGATCAAACTTCACATTTAAGGAGATAAACATGAAGCTCTGATATGAAAAAACCGGAATCTAATAGTTTCACACTTTAAGTACTTTCCAACATTAGTGAGTAACTCCTACATTCCTCCTTATATATGATTGAATACACTTATGAACTTAAATTGTATCTAACTCGTTGTTTCTTTTTATTCAGAAAATTCGAAACTATTTTCACTTTTGTTTCTATGTAAACATAATGAGATATAATGATTATTTTGAAGTGTTCAGTAAGTCATCTATAACTATACATTATGAACAAACCAGTTAGGTATAATATAACAGGTCTCACTCATCCATTTGGTTAAACAGAGTTTTGGCATTATAGCTGATGTCAGTTCATGATGAAAACTCGAAATCTAATTTCTAACCTTCATCATCATAATTTTCATTTCTCAACCTGGTTTATAACACTCATTTGATCCTAGTTATTAGGTGAACACTCTCGAGGTCACTTTAGCGTTGCTCAAAGGTCGTGCATAAATTATAGTCTCACGGAATTTTTTTTAATACTAAAATGATTATAATGTGTGGCTAGTGAAAACAGGCTTGTAATTATATAGAATGGAATATTATCTACTCTAAATACTCTAGTTTTCTAAATTAATTTATGAATTGTGCATCTTGATACAATGGGATCTCATTCTTTATACAGTGTACCGATCGAGTATCCAGCAGTCGTCAGCAGTGGCATTGTAGTAGTAACAAGTGACAAACAGAAAATATTTTCATTTTACCAATTACATCGCTTCATTGCATGATCTGTTCCGAATATCTCTTCATCTTACATAAATCATTTTAATTTATATTAGATTGATGGAAATAGGTCCTGGGTTCGAATCCTGCGAGGCGGGATCGTGGATGCGCACTGCTTAGGAGTCCCACAATAGGACGAAACGGCTATCCAGTGCTTCCAGGTTTTCCATGGTGGTCTAGCTTCAATTGACTCATGATCTCAACTGCTGAAAGTTTTATGAAAATTTATTCGTCATAAACAAATCACAGTTAGAATATTGTTGGAAGCAAGACAATGCTAGATAATTATTTTCTCTTAGTATGAAATGAATCAGATCATTTAAGAATTCATCACCACAATAAAAGTTAAATATAGAACCTCAAAATGTCACGATGAATACTTATCCATTATTAGAACTATTAGGTCAATGTTCAATGATATACATATAAACTTGAATCAATTTATGATATAACAATGCAATTATTGAATTACCGTTGTTTGAATTCAGAATAAATCATACGATTTGGAAAACCTTTACGACAAATACGAATTCCTTCAAGTACACCATTACAATGTAACTGATGCAAAACCAAATGAGCATCAATTAC